TCAAGGGGAAACCTTAACTTTACCTTATGGCCATGTTCTCACAACCTCTGAGGATGCCTGCCATAGATCCAGGCAAAATGTCAGGAGAGAATGCTTCTAGAGCATGGCCATACAGCCCGAAAAACCTACAACAACCCAGTGATTCTGGCCATGAAAGCCTTCAACAATACAACCACAGTGAAATTGTTGTCGAACACAGAACCCCTCCCCAACTCCAAAAGATGTATAGTTTTCAAAGGGCATTGAGCCAGAATAACAACAAGTAGGGTCTGTTGCCCAGCAGAGATTGCTGGAGCATGCAAGGAATCAATGCTTTGTTTAAAGCCTCTAAAGAAGAAGCCTCCACCACACTCCGGGGCAGAGAGTTCCACTGCTGAACAGCTCTCACACTCGGGAAGTTCTTCCTAATGTTCAGATGGAATCTCCTTTCTTGTAGGTTGAAGGGCAACAGTCTCCAGGGCAAAAGAAAACAAGCTTGCTCCCTCCTTTCTCTGACTTCCTCTCACATATTTATACATGACCCTCATCATGTCTCCTCTTAGCCCTCTCTTCTGCAGGCTAAACATGCCCAGCTCTTTAAGCCGCTCCTCATAGGGCTTGTTCTCCAGACCCTTGATCCTTTTACTTGTCCTCCTCTGGACACCTTCCAGCTTGTCAGCATCTCCTTTCAATTGAGGTGCCCAGAAGTGGACACAGTGTGATTCCAGGTGTGGCCTGACCAAGGCAGAATAGAGCATGGGGAGCATGACTTCCCTGGATCTAGACACTAGACTCCTATTGATGCAGGCCAAAATCCCATTGGCTTTTTTTTTGCAGCCACATCACATTGTCAGTCTTCAGTCCTGCCGGCACATTGCACCACTGGAGGCTATTCTAAGGACAAGTAAATATCCAGCTTTCCAAACTAAAATCTACTTCCTTGCTCTATATCTTGATTTACGCTAATCATATCCACCTCCGCCGATCCTCATATTCAATTACATTTCTCTTCTGAAGAAAGGGTGTTTCCTTCTTCTCAAAAGAACATACGAGATAGGAGTTGCCCAGGTTCGTTGGAAATAATATGTTATGCTGACGTGATATCTCAAAAAACACTTGATGACCCGGTCAGTTGGATACTTGGTCTGAATATTATTGTTTTCATCATTATCCGCATGAGACCGTTGATAGACAAATACAGAGGAAATACTTATAGAGCTTTTATTATCCATTCCTTTGCGATTATTAAGTCAGGAACTTTGTTTTTCTAATGGAAAGGAAAAGCAATATTGATCAACCCCTTTAATGCATGTCATTAAAGCCTCTTACTCTGTCTTCGACCCTTGTGAGTGTGTTCTCTAATCCGGAACTTTGGTTGTTAGCAATGCTTGCCAGGCGGGGCTCTCATTTAACTGTGGTCTAAATTCGACTTCCAAGTGGCTTCCTAAGAAGCCTATCTTAAATGGCGGAGAGCAAGCAAAGCCATGCATGCCAAATGGCCTGCCCTTTTCCCTCAGAGTAAGGCATCTCTTCTCAAGGGCCCTGAAGAGGGTTGTCCTGATTTGCATCACTAAAGTGTGATTCAAGTATTAGCCACCCTTCTTAGGAACATGCAAAGCAGCGGGGAGGAGGCGCCGCCTTGCCGTCCAGTGGACTAAACATCTTGGCACCATGCTGGCCCAGAGCAAAGGACAAAGTGCCACCCTTGATTTCTCCTATTAAAGTGTATCTTGCAGCTATCCCAACTGATAGGGACAGTCCTGATTCATCCTCTATCTTCCCACGTTGTCAGCTGCTTTTCAAATGTCCTGGTTTTCCTCCCTCCTTCTCCCATTCCCACCTTCAGCTGACTTCAATTTCTGGGAGTCTAATGTGCAAGCAGAAAGAAGTCGCAGGAAGACCTCAGCAAGCAAGAGTCCAAAAGTGGCAGGCTAAAACCTGGAACTTCAATCCATGGCTGATACAGAATGAGAGACTCCCTCCTGGGTGCACAGAAGACTGGGTGACTTGGAAAGCGCTGAACAGACTGCGCTCTGGCACCATGAGATGCAGAGCTTAAGCAGCTGAGGGGGGTGGGGGGGAGGGGAGGAAAGGGTCTGAGGCTGTTAGGAATTGTGGGAGTTGAAGTCCAAAACACTTGGAGGGCCCAAGTTAGCCCATGTCTGTTATAGATTGAGAGGACAACTAAAATGATCGGGGTCTGGAGAACAAGCCCTATGAGGAGCGGCTTAAAGAGCAGGACATGTGTAATGAATCCCTTACCTTGGCAAGCTAGCTTATGCCTAAGAGAGTGGGCCTGGCGAAGCCACTGCATTCATTTTAGAGAAGAGAAACAGGGAGAAGCCATCTTAGGTTAGGTTTGCCTTGAGGGGGCGTGTTCTAATCTTGGAGGGAAAGTTAGAAAGCTAGGATTGGTTAAAAAGATGGGGCGGAGCCTAAGTGGTCTGAAGGAAAAAAGTGACTTTTAAACTGAGACTGGAGTACCAGTTTGCCAGTTTTGAGTTGGGAGTTGGAGCATGGAAAGGGTAGAGTGAAGGTGTTGGGTGTTAGTGAGAGCAGTTTGGGGTTTTGAAGAAGAACTTTGGGTCAGTCTTTTGTTTAGTATTCAGGGTAGCTATAGAGAAGTATAGCTAGAATACTGTGTGGAGCAGAAACCCTTTAGTGGTCTGTTCTTTTCCTAAGGAAGGCTAGTTCAGGTTTTGACCAGATTCCTAAGGGGGATTTTTGTGGGAGTTACTGTCAGAGATTCATTTCCTGAAGTAATTTTCTGTGTTGAAACTTTAAGACTTGTAACCCAGAAGTTTTAAGATCTTTTCTCAAATGAAACCACAAGCCAGAACTTTACTGAAATCATTAAGCTTTTGTATCTGAAATATTCAAGCCTGTTCAATAAACGTTCTTGTTATTTTTATCAACTTATACCAGCCTCATTGTGAATACCTTTGTGGTCAAAGCATGATTTAAGTCAGCTTTTTAACAGCCTCTAAGAAAACTATAGTGACACAGAGTGGGTCACAGGACAACCTCTCAATAAGACCTCAGCCTGTTTAGTAATATGGTGGCAGCGGAAATCTTTTAAAGAATCATTTTAAGTTTCTCAGTTCCAGTAGTTCCCAGTTCCTAACTGTTAAATAGACACATTGGTCCAACAACTATTCTCCCTCTATATTTTAGGTGAGCTAATCTGTAGTGGTGGTGTTATCGTTATAATTTGGTAGGCTGCTGTGTGGTCATTATAATTTGGGTGAAGCAGCGTTGGGATTTTTATTATCGAATAAAGTTCCCTACTATTGCCCCATGTTCGTTATACCCTGAAGAAGAGAAGGCTGAGAGGAGACATGATAGCCATGTATAAGTATGTGAGAGGAAGTCATAGGGAAGAGGGAGCAAGCTTGTTTTCTGCTGCCCTGGAGACTAGAACGCAATGGAACGATTGCTTCAAACTACAAGAAAGGAGATTTCTTCTGCAGATTTGGAAGAACTTCCTGAGCGTGAGAGCTGTTCAGCAATGGAACTATCTGCCTCGGAGTGTGATGAGGCACCTTCTTTGGAGGCTTTTAAGCAGAGGCTGGATGGTCATCTGTCGGGGGGTGCTTTGAATGCATTTTTTCCTGCTTCTTGGCAGAATGGAGTTGGACTGGATGGCCCATGTGGTTTCTTCTAACTCTATGATTCTATATTAAAACGGCCCGGAAATTTCAATTGGTTCAACGGGCGGCAGCCAGGTTGTTAACTGGTGCTTCTTACAGGGAGCGGTCAACCCTCCTGTTTAAGGAGCTCCACTGGCTGCCATTCATTTTCTGGTCCCAATTCAAGGTGCAGGTTCTTACCTACAAAGCCCTGAATGGTTTGGGACCTGCCTACCTACGTGACCACATCTCTGTGTACGAACCCACATGATCTCTTTGATCATCTGGAGAGGCCCTGCTCACACTCCCACCTCCATCGCAGGCGTGATTGGTGGGGACGAGGGAGAGGGCCTTCTTGGTGGTGGCCCCATGACTCTGGAACTCGCTTCCCAAGGACATCCGGGATGCCCCAACTCTGGCAATTTTTAGGAGGAGCCTGAAAACGTGGTTGTTCCAGTGTGCCTTTCCAGAATAATGAATTTCTCACCAATATGCCCTCAAAATGCACTTTATTATTGATTTAGGATTGATTGATTTGCACGCCCTATCCCCCTCCAAAAATTTCCATCCCAGTTATATCCTACCTTGCTCATGCCCAGCATTATTTTTTTAAATTTTAATTTTACATTTGGCCCAGCCATAGGTTTTAAATGCTTGTTGTGTTACTGTACTGCTTATATTTTATTTTATTTTGGTTTATGAGATGTATTTTAACTGTTTTGTATTGTTTGTTGCTATTGTTTTATTATTGATGTGTTGTGGGCTCGGCCTCATGTAAGCCGCACCGAGTCCCTTGGGGAGATGGTAGCGGGGTATAAATAAAGTTATTATTATTATTATTATTATTATTATTATTATTATTATTATGGGACAGAAAGATTGATAAAAAATCATACAAATCTAGAAAATTACGAAATGGAGTTCTGAAACTCAGTTCTTGTGGGTTTTTTCGGGCTATATGGCCATGTTCTAGAGGCATTTCTCCTGACGTTTCGCCTGCATCTATGGCAAGCATCCTCAGAGGTGAGGTCTTAAGACCTCACCTCTGAGGATGCTTGCCATAGATGCAGGCGAAACGTCAGGAGAAATGCCTCTAGAACATGGCCATATAGCCCGAAAAAACCCACAAGAACTGAGTGATTCCAGCCATGAAAGCCTTCGACAATACATTGGAGTTCTGAAGCTTTGCACATCCCTACTGAGCAGTTATATTTGCAGTTTGTGAGACGAGTGGAAGTTCTAGACATTGACATCAGTTGGGTTTGATCCAAAATATGCTGCATTGTAGCTATAAGTTACCATTTGCAAACTATTTGAAACCATTATGGTTTCAGTGTACTTGTAAAATTGGTCCCACAGATCCTGACAAAGTGGTACACATACACACAAATCTTTAGTTTAAAGGATTATCTTTAATAGCATATTCAAAAATACAGCTGAAACAAAATACCAACTGGGTTAAGAGATGAACAAAATCCAAAGCGAACTAGTCTTTGAAGCAGAGGGATACACATTAAGTGTTGCCAAGCCCAGTCTCGGAAAGCAGTTGAGTCCAGCAAGAACACGTTCCGGTCCCTGCTTTCACCAACAAGGCATCAATTCATCTTCTTCCAAGAACAAACTTTGAATATAATCTATAATACAACCTATAAAAGCTGCTGCTAAAAATATGACAAAAAGAAGCCATTTATATTGTATATTCTAATTGACTTTCAAGGAAATCAGAGTTCTTTGTGAGGTTTGTGTTCCATTGCTGGATACCGACGAAAGTCAGCCAGATATTCTGGAACAGGTTTTGTTCTTGTATTTTTAAGACCCATATAAGGGGACTTTTTATCGTGTTGGAAATAACAACTTTCTCAAGCCTCCACAAGTTATTTGGTTATGTATATAATTCAGATTGCTTACTGTGTTGTCTATGTGTGTATTGGTTTGCAGTTTTCCTTAACTCTATGTTGTCGGAGGGGCTGCAGAGCACGTGATCAGAACTGGGCTTGTTCAGGACTCAGACTCCATTTTAGAAACAGTAAGCTTTAGAGCAGTGGTTCTCAACCTTCCTAATGCCACGACCCCCTTAATACGCTTCCTCATGTTATGGTGACCCCCAACCATAAAATTAGCTTCATTGCTACTTCATAACTGTCATTTTGCTGCTGTTATGAATAGTAATGTAAATATCTGATATGCAGGATGTATTTTCATACACTGGAACAAAATTTGGCACAAATACCCAATACACTTAAATTTGAATGCTGGTGGGATTGGGGGAGGGTATTGATTTTGTCCTGTGGGAGTTGTAATCGCTGGGATTTATAGTTCACCTACAATCAAAGAGCATTCTGAACTCCACCAATGATGGAATTGAATCAAACTTGGCACACAGAACTCCCATGACCAACAGAAAATACCAGAAGGGTTGGGTGGGCATTGACCTTGAGTTTTGGGAGTTGTAGTCACCTACATCCACAGAGCACTGTGGACTCAAACAATGATGGATCTGGACCAAACTTGGCACGAAATATACCCAAATATGAACACTGGTGGAGTTTGGGGAAAATAGAATCTTGATATTTGGGAGGTGTAGTTGCTGGGATTTATAGTTCACCTACAATCAAAGAGCATTCTGAACCCTACCAACGATTGAATTGGGCCAAACTTCCCACACTGAACCTCCATGACTAACAGAAAATACTGTGTTCTGGTGGTCTTGAGTGACCCCTCTGACACCTCCTTGTGATCCCTCCGGGGGTCCCGACCCCCAGGTTGAGAAACACTGCTTTAGAGTGTTGTCAAAGGATTTCATGGCTGGGTTGCTGTGAGTTTTGCGGGCTGTATAGCAATGTTCCAGAAGCATTCTCTCCTGACATTTTAGCCACATCTATGGCATGCATCCTCAGAGGTTGAGAGGTCTGTTAGAGCCTGGATGCCTGCCATAGATGTGGGCAAACGTCAGGAGAAAATGCTTCCGGAACATAGCCGTACAGCCCAGAAAACTCACGGCAACCCAGTATGCTTTAGACTTCAGTAGGAACTGTATGCTTAGAGACTTCAATGTAGAAACAGATGTATGCTTTCAGACTCTCAGGCTGTACAAACTCCACTGGACTTTCAGACTAGACAGAGACTCTATCAGACTCTCAGAACAGAGAGATACCGAGCGTTTATTTTTTAAATTTTAAATTATCACATTTGGCCTGACCATAGGTTTTAAATCCTTGTTTACATGTGAGTTATATTAATTGTATTGTTTTTGCTAATTGTTTTTTGTTTTATTGATCTGTTGTCAGGCTTGGCCTCATGTAAGCCGCTCCGAGTCCCCTTGGGGAGATGGTGTTGGGGTATAAATAAAGTTTTATTATTATTATGAACTGTTAAGATAATAAAAAAGATGTCCTGTGTTACCTAAACAGAGAAACTGCTTCAAATCCGATCTGTAACTGGATTGATATGCAAAGCACCTGTATGCTGAATATATGAAGTTTGTGAGTAAACCAACTGTGCAACTTTTAAAGCAGTCTGCTAATTTTTGAGAGGTTTTAAGGCAAAGTAGATATTTTTTGGGCAACTAAAAGAACAGTTCTGAAACTCTGCTATTATACATATGTGTGTGTTTTATGCATTGGCATATCTTTATCCCTAACAGTTCAAAGACATGCCTAGGTACATCAGTTTAACAACTGAGAAACCTAATTGCAGAGCCCGGCAGCCATGTTCCTAGTCCATCCCAGCATGGCCAAGCATCAGTCTTGGGAGATGAAGAATACATATTGAACACTAACAGACCCTTTGAACCTGGGAATTCACCAGAGCTTTGAAAAAAAGAGTTAAAAGTTCTCATAATGGTGAATAAAATAGGTCTGATCGCGCTTGTTGATCTTCTGACAAGCCTTCTCCACGTTCTTTGTCATACCTGGTGGACCACAACTGAAGACACCTATCTTCTTCACCTAGAAGCAAACAAAAGAACTTGAAAGGCGAAAGGTAAACACATTAAAACTGTCACCCTAACCAAGGTCAAATTTTATAGCCTGAATCGTTTCCCGGTCATGATGCATGCAAATGTAAGCACACCTGTGCGTGTTTGGGTTTGGTCTTGTGGAAGTTGGATCTCTCTCTCTCTTCCGTCCTTTGCAATGACCAAAACCCCCTTGCTGTGACCATTCAGTTGATGAGGGAAAGCAGTTGGGATTGGGATATTATCTGGAGGTCAGCTGTGACCAGCAGTGCTGTACGATTTAAAGAGGCATGAATGGAGGGCAAAAGAGAGAAACATGCCAAGAGGAACTGACAACACTGTCTTCCTGCCCCCCTCTCTTCATTCTGATCACAGAGCAGCACTTGGTGCTGGGGGAAGGAGCTCCCAACTGGCAACACTGGAGTCAAGATTGAACTGTCTTCCTGCCCCCCTCTCTTCATTCTGATCCCAGAGCAGCACTTGGTGCTGGGGGAAGGAGCTCCCAACTGACGACACTGGAGACAAGATTGAACTGTCTTCCTGCCCCCCTCTCTTCACTCTGATCCCAGAGCAGCACTTGGTGCTGGGGGAAGGAGCTCCCAACTGGCAACACTGGAGACAAGATTGAACTGTCTTCCTGCCCCCCTCTCTTCACTCTGATCCCAGAGCAGCACTTGGTGCTGGGGGAAGGAGCTCCCAACTAGCAACACTGGAGTCAAGATTGAACTGTCTTCCTGCCCCCCTCTCTTCATTCTGATCCCAGAGCAGCACTTGGTGCTGGGGGAAGGAGCTCCCAACTAGCAACACTGGAGTCAAGATTGAACTGTCTTCCTGCCCCCCTCTCTTCATTCTGATCCCAGAGCAGCACTTGGTGCTGGGGGAAGGAGCTCCCAACTGGCAACACTGGAGTCAAGATTGAACTGTCTTCCTGCCCCCCTCTCTTCATTCTGATCCCAGAGCAGCACTTGGTGCTGGGGGAAGGAGCTCCCAACTGGCAACACTGGAGTCAAGATTGAACTGTCTTCCTGCCCCCCTCTCTTCATTCTGATCCCAGAGCAGCACTTGGTGCTGGGGGAAGGAGCTCCCAACTGACGACACTGGAGACAAGATTGAACTGTCTTCCTGCCCCCCTCTCTTCACTCTGATCCCAGAGCAGCACTTGGTGCTGGGGGAAGGAGCTCCCAACTGGCAACACTGGAGACAAGATTGAACTGTCTTCCTGCCCCCCTCTCTTCACTCTGATCCCAGAGCAGCACTTGGTGCTGGGGGAAGGAGCTCCCAACTGACGACACTGGAGACAAGATTGAACTGTCTTCCTGCCCCCCTCTCTTCACTCTGATCCCAGAGCAGCACTTGGTGCTGGGGGAAGGAGCTCCCAACTAGCAACACTGGAGTCAAGATTGAACTGTCTTCCTGCCCCCCTCTCTTCATTCTGATCCCAGAGCAGCACTTGGTGCTGGGGGAAGGAGCTCCCAACTGGCAACACTGGAGTCAAGATTGAACTGTCTTCCTGCCCCCCTCTCTTCATTCTGATCCCAGAGCAGCACTTGGTGCTGGGGGAAGGAGCTCCCAACTAGCAACACTGGAGTCAAGATTGAACTGTCTTCCTGCCCCCCTCTCTTCATTCTGATCCCAGAGCAGCACTTGGTGCTGGGGGAAGGAGCTCCCAACTGGCAACACTGGAGTCAAGATTGAACTGTCTTCCTGCCCCCCTCTCTTCATTCTGATCCCAGAGCAGCACTTGGTGCTGGGGGAAGGAGCTCCCAACTAGCAACACTGGAGTCAAGATGGAACTGTCTTCCTGCCCCCCTCTCTTCATTCTGATCCCAGAGCAGCACTTGGTGCTGGGGGAAGGAGCTCCCAACTGACGACACTGGAGACAAGATTGAACTGTCTTCCTGCCCCCCTCTCTTCACTCTGATCCCAGAGCAGCACTTGGTGCTGGGGGAAGGAGCTCCCAACTGGCAACACTGGAGATAAGATTGAACTGTCTTCCTGCCCCCCTCTCTTCACTCTGATCCCAGAGCAGCACTTGGTGCTGGGGGAAGGAGCTCCCAACTGACGACACTGGAGACAAGATTGAACTGTCTTCCTGGCCCCCTCTCTTCACTCTGATCCCAGAGCAGCACTTGGTGCTGGGGGAAGGAGCTCCCAACTGGCAACACTGGAGACAAGATTGAACTGTCTTCCTGCCCCCCTCTCTTCACTCTGGTCCCAGAGCAGCAGTTGGTGCTGGGGGAAGGAGCTCCCAACTGACGACACTGGAGACAAGATTGAACTGTCTTCCTGCCCCCCTCTCTTCACTCTGATCCCAGAGCAGCACTTGGTGCTGGGGGAAGGAGCTCCCAACTGACGACACTGGAGACAAGATGGAACTGTTTTCCAGGCTCCCTCTCTTCATTCTGATCCCAGAGCAGCAGTTGGTGCTGGGAGGAGGGGCTCCCAACTGGCAACACTGGAGACAAGATTGAACTGTCTTCCTGGCCCCCTCTCTTCACTCTGATCCCAGAGCAGCACTTGGTGCTGGGGGAAGGAGCTCCCAACTGGCAACACTGGAGACAAGATTGAACTGTCTTCCTGCCCCCCTCTCTTCACTCTGATCCCAGAGCAGCACTTGGTGCTGGGGGAAGGAGCTCCCAACTGACGACACTGGAGACAAGATTGAACTGTCTTCCTGCCCCCCTCTCTTCACTCTGATCCCAGAGCAGCACTTGGTGCTGGGGGAAGGAGCTCCCAACTGACGACACTGGAGACAAGATGGAACTGTTTTCCAGGCTCCCTCTCTTCATTCTGATCCCAGAGCAGCAGTTGGTGCTGGGAGGAGGGGCTCCCAACTGGCAACACTGGAGACAAGATTGAACTGTCTTCCTGGCCCCCTCTCTTCACTCTGATCCCAGAGCAGCACTTGGTGCTGGGGGAAGGAGCTCCCAACTGGCAACACTGGAGACAAGATTGAACTGTCTTCCTGCCCCCCTCTCTTCACTCTGATCCCAGAGCAGCACTTGGTGCTGGGGGAAGGAGCTCCCAACTGACGACACTGGAGATAAGATGGAACTGTTTTCCAGGCTCCCTCTCTTCACTCTGATCCCAGAGCAGCACTTGGTGCTGGGGGAAGGAGCTCCCAACTGACGACACTGGAGACAAGATGGAACTGTTTTCCAGGCTCCCTCTCTTCATTCTGATCCCAGAGCAGCAGTTGGTGCTGGGAGGAGGGGCTCCCAACTGGCAACACTGGAGACAAGATTGAACTGTCTTCCTGCCCCCCTCTCTTCACTCTGGTCCCAGAGCAGCACTTGGTGCTGGGTCCATCACTCTGATCCTGAGTCAAGTCGATGCAATGGAAGCATCCTGACTAACATCCTCTGAAGAAGGCACGTGCCAACTCTCAGCAGGCAAGGTCATGCTCACAGTATTTTGGGAACAGCACGGAGTAGGATTGATGGATTTCCTAGCGAAGGGGACCATGATCACTGGGGCAGACTAGGCTTCACTGCTGCAGAAATTGTGGGAGGCCATCAAAACCAAGAGACAATTGCTTAAAGAGATGGGAGAAGTGTGTGTCCCTAGATGGTGGCACCCATGGAGAGAAGGACTCAGAACTGGACCAAGTTGCATTGCTCTCAGTCCGCAACAAGTGGGTCAGGGGAAATCTTTCATGAACACCCCTCCTAGCAAGACCTCAAGAGAAAACTCCTATTATTCCCAGCTGTAAAGCTCTTTAGAGGAGAAAGAAGTCTATAAAATACTGATACTTGAAATAAACTCTTATCTTGTCCAGGGCTGTGAGTAGATTGCAACAAAAGCAGTCCTGGGCTTGGCCAAAGTTATTGTTTGTTGTCTATTTGCCTTTCCTTTCAGTTCCAGGGCTAATATTAGCTCTAGGTATCACCTGGGAAGATACTGTAAGGCTTAGAAAATATGTTTGAACAGATTTCCTAAATACTAAAGTGTTGATTTCAGTCAGCCTGGCCAAGTATTTCTCTGTAAAATGAACATGCTGTCCCTATTCGTAAATGTCATGATGACTCATTTCTGGAAGAGTAACACTTTCCTTGAATCTCTACGACGGGTCCAAGGAGCAAAAGTTGGAAACCCGAGTTTGCCTGAATCCTATGGGTTGCTCCCGACCTCATGTTGACCTGTTCTCAAGAAGTATGACTCACTGTGTCTGATGGGGATGCACTCTCAGTTAATGTGTGCAGGATTGGAGCCTTAGCATGCAAATCTGGAATCTATGCAAATAAAGGAAGGACCTGCAATGTTTGTTATCTAGCTGGGCAACTGTGTTTAGATTCCCATGACCATGTTATCCAACCAATGATTTCAAGTGTCATTACGTGCTGTTCTGTTGAAACTCTCCACCATGGTAGCTGTAAATTTTTCACATGATGCCCAGGTGGAACTCATCGCATGGTGATCTTAAATAAACACTGCCTTGCATACTTTGGTAAAATCCAGCAGAACCTCAGTTGTTGCCTCCCAACTAAGATGGAGGAGTAGATAGATCAGTGGTTCCCAACCTTTTTTTGACCAGGGACCACTTGACCAGGGACTACTTTGGCCAGGGACCACTTTGACCAGGGACTACTTGAACAGCGACCACTTAACCAGGGACCACTTTGACCAGGGACCACTTTGACCAAGGACCACTTAACCAGGGCCCACTTTGACCAAGGACCACTTGAACTGTGACTATTTTGACCAGGGACCACTTGAACAGCACCACTTTGACCAGGGACCACCTGAACAGGGACCACTTGAACAGCAACCACTTTGACCAGGAACCACTTAACCAGGACCCACTTTGACCAAGGACCACTTGAACAGTGACCACTTTGACCAGGGACCACTTAACCAGGGACCACTTTGACCAGGGACCACCTGAACAGGGACCACTTGAACAGCAACCCCTTTGACCAGGGACCACTTAACCAGGGACCACTTTGACCAGGGACCACCTGAACAGGGACCACCTGAACAGCGACCCCTTTGACCAGGACCACTTAACCAGGGACCACTTTGACCAGGGACTAATTGAACAGTGACCACTTGACCAGGGACCACTCTCCAACATTAGTACCAAGAGGGTTACAAACTGGTTTTTGGCCAATTTTAGATTTGGGTTGGTTATTTGAGGTGCTGGTTCAGTAAATTGCATTGGATAGACCACATCAGCTCTTGTTTCTGACACAGAACATATGCCACCCAGTAGTCGCCATCAAGAAGTTCCAGGTTCTTGGCAGCGGGTTGGACTGGATGGCCTAAGAGTTCTCTTCCAATTCAATGATTCTATGATCTGCTTGCCTACAGAAGACCATATTTAATCACCTAGAGCTGATGTGGTAGTAGTCATATTTTGTGGGTAGTCAGCCTCGTCCTTCCTGGCACCTCCATTGCTTCAGCACTTTAAGAGGGTTTTGCGAGACTAGTCACTCTAGTTACCACGTGGTTTTGAGGCAACTGTGTAGAAATGGTGAGGCCGTGGACCATATTTTTGTTCTTGCAGATTACTGGTGATCCATGGCCCACAGGTTGGGAACCAGTGAGATAGACAGACCTTTGGCCTGATCCAGCAGGTCTCTTTCTATGCTGGAACATTCTTAAAGAAAAAGGATGCATTTGGATTTATCTAGGTAGGCTTTCTAAAGGTCCTATTGAGCTCCATTGTTTAGGATTTAGGTTAGGTTGGATGTTCTAAGCTACAACATGGGACAGAAAGTGCCACTCCCACAATTCCTAATAGCTGGTAAACTGGCTGGGATTTCTGGGAGTTGAAGTCCAAAACACTTGGAGGGCTCAAGTTTGACCATGCCTGCTCATGAAAACCCTCTGCCCACTGCTGGCACTGACCTCAGGATGGACCTCTTGCAACGAGCAGAAGAACGGGAAAAATGGTGGCCGGCCAAAGTGGGTGATGGAGCGCAGGCCTGTGAACAAACTCCGGTTGAGGACCCTCTGGAAGTGCCGCTCACAAATGTACTAGAAACAAAGAAAGACTGACTTCAATACCAGGAAATGTTCTGGAGCAGATCATGAAGGAGGCAGTCTGCAATCACTTAGAAAAGAATGCTGTGATTGCTAAAAGTCAACACAGATTTCTCAAAAACAAGTCATGCCAGACTAATTTTATCTCTTTTTTCGATAGAGTGACAAGCTTGGTAGAAGCAGGGAATGTTGTGGATGGGGCAGATCTTGATTTCGGTAAGGCCTTCGACCAAGTTCCCCATGACCTCCTTGCAAGGAAACTAGTCAAATATGGGCTAGGCAATGCTACTATTAGGTGGATCTGGAATTGGTTAAATGACCGAACCCAAAGGGCGCTCACCAATAGTTCCACTTCATCCTGGCAATAAGTGACTGGTGGAGTGCCACAGTGGAGTGCCACAGGGTTCGGTCCTTTATTATTGGCTTGGATGAAGGTGTAGAGGGCATGCTTATCAAGTTTGCAGATAACACCCAATTAGCTGGTAACTCTTTGGGAGGCCACACACAATAGCGTCCTGAAGTTGTGAGTTTTCTGGAAGTGGGTCTTACCAGCATTGTGGTCCGCAGGTCAAACTTCTCAGCCAGCTGTGTGATGTAAATGTGCACAGAGACCAGATCGCCTTTATCGTTCTCTTCCACCTCGCGGATTATGTCAGCCATCCACTCAAACTGCCGCTGTGTCCGGGTGACCCAAATAAAATAGATCTGGGAGGGGGAGGGAAGGGGGATAAGGTCATTTCCAGAGGTCCTTGCAAAACCTTGGAGTGTATCACGAGAGGCAGACAAACCGCAATAACAGTAGGACAATATCACATAGAATTATCCTGCTCTATTGTTCTCCTTTGTTTACAAAAGGAGGGCATGAAAGCACCGTTTGTGTTTGTAAGAGGAATGCTTTGCAGGTTTTCCCCCACTGGGAGAGAGGTGAGAGAAGAGAGATGTCACGGGATAAGTCCCTGCCAAGGACACTGCTGTCCTGTTGCAACTGCAATTTGTTTGGCCCCTGTGATAAACCCCTCTACCTACATTTTGCAGACCGAGCTTTCCCTTCCTACCTCTTTCTGCTGCATCTCTCACAAGGTTTTCCCACAGCCTATGCTTTCAAGTCCTATGCTGAATCAAGCTCTCCTACCCTCTTTGATCCTGTAACGTTATTTATTTCATATCAAACGTATTGCATACATAAGTACTAGGCTTGTTTGATAAAAAAGGGGGCTCAAAATCCATTTCGGATATAGGGGGCGCTGGTGGTTCAATTCTAAAATCAATTCCAATTTTCACAGAATTTTTTTTGAAACTTCTCGAAACTTCTGAGACTCCCAAATCCTTTCGTTAATGGTTTGAAAGTGTTATTTCCTGTTTTATTGGGTGGTCTTTACTTTGAAAGTAGTTGATGTACTCCAGAAGCAGGAAAAAGCAAGCGGAGGAAATTCCTTCCTTCTCTGGTTTAAAACTGGCTTCTCTGGCTTTAAAACTGGCTTCTCTGGCTTGAGCCGAGGCCAGGAAATTCCTTCCTTGTGTGGTTTAAAACTGGCTTCTCTGGCTTGAGCTGAGATCAGGAAATTCCTTCCTTCTCTGGTTTAAAACTGGCTTCTCTGGCTTGAGCCGAGGCCAGGAAATTCCTTCCTTGTGTGCTTTAAAACTGGCTTCTCTGGCTTGAGCTGAGATCTGGAAATTCCTTCCTTCTCTGGTTTAAAACTGGCTTCTCTGGCTTGAGCCAAGGCCAGGAAATTCCTTCCTTCTCTGGTTTAAAACTGGCTTTTCTGGCTTCAGCAGAGGCCTGGGACCAGAAGCAGGGAAAAGCTGAATCATTTCCGACTCACTCCCTGAATCATAACAAAAATGGCGGAAAAAGCTTCAGAAGGGCAAAGGGACTTCTGATTTTTAAAAAAGCTTCGATATCACTTCAAAAAGGTAATTTTAACTAAATTATTATGAGCAACGAGTTATCCGACATGACTCTATCCATGCCTAATAAGTACAAAACCGATAGAAATAGGAGCACAAGCAGCTACAGTGGGGGGGGGGGGGGYGGTATTTAGTTAGATACCAATTGTACAAGTTCTCCCACTTAAAAAGATGAGAGAGGCCTGTAATTGACTTCCTAGGTAGAGCTCAACTATGAGAGACAACATGAGAAAACACATCCAGAAAATCACATTGTCTGATTTTAATGAATTTATATCCAAATTGTGGTGGAAATTAAGTATTTGGTCCATAACAAAGGTTTATCTCAATACTTTGTTATATATCCTTTATTGGCAATGACAGAGGTCAAACATCTCAGCTTTGTCCATGCCTGTACTAGACAGTTCAGTGCCTGTTGTCCTTGGATGGACAGGTATATGAAAAACTCATGTATCTCACTTTCATTAACCTCACCTTCTTACACAGGATCCTGGAGCCAACCGAAGCCTTGAAGACAAGATCCTTGAGGATGGCTGCAAAGGGTGTCACCCCAATGCCTCCTCCCACAAGCACCGAGACCTCAAATTTGTTCCATTCCTGGTGTCCTTCTCCAAAAGGCCCATCGAGGTACAACTGCAAAGAGATATGGAAACGTTCTTGCTCAGAGTCTGTCCACATGACTTCTGTCCACAATTTAGAAGAAGGATCAGAAGGATGATTTGCTAGTAGAGGGAAGTAGATGCAGCAGCTGGACATTGACAACAGAGTTGCATTGGAGGATCCAGTGATGCCTAGTAAGGGTCTTCAACTGGTCATCCAGTACAGTGTTATGGTATGCTTCTACTGGAAGTCATTCATTCAGTTGAGCCCACCATTTTTCATGTCTCTTCATGAAATCCTTACTCTCATGGATAAGAATATCTATGTAATGTTAGTTTGTGGGATTAACATAACTCAAAAACCACTGGGTGAATGGACACCAAATTTGGACACAATACACCTCTCAGGCCAACGAATGACCATCACTCATAAAAACATGGAAAAACACAGCAGAAGGGACTTAAAAAGCCACAAAAGCAAAAGACGCTACAGTACATGTGCAAAAATGACTCCTCTGGCAAACACACACACACACACACAAAATAGCATATCCACACTCTCTTCCGGACTACAGCTCCCAGCATCCCCCAGACCAGGCCCTTTGGGATAGGAGGATGATCCAAATGCACTGCTTCTAAGATGCAAGCTTTCTTCTCCTTGGATTTCTTTGAGAGCATCCCAATCCCTGCATATTCCCAATTTCCTATTCTTGGACTGCAACCCCTAGCAACCCTCCAGATAGATAGATTAGAAAGAGATGGAAAGATTGGTAGATAAATTGATCAGGAAGACTGCTGGAAGTCGCAGTCCAAGAATAGGTAGAGAAGGAAGAATGGGGAGAAAGGGGAAGGGAAAGAAAAGGGGGGAAAGAAGGGAAGAGGAAGAGAAGGAAGGAAGGAAGGAAGGAAGGAAGGAAGGAAGGAGGAGAGAGAGAGAGAAGGAAGGAAAGAAGGAAGGAAGGAAAGGAAGGAAGGAAGAAAGATAGAGGGAAGGAAAGAGAGAGAGAGAGAGAAGGAAGGAAGGAAGGAAGGAGGAAGGAAGGAAGGAAGGAAGGAAGGAAGGAAGGAAGGAAAGAAGGAAGGAAGGAGGGAAGGAAGGAAGGAGGGGAGGGAGGAAGGAGAGAGAGAGAAAGAAAGAAAGAAAGAAAGAAAGAAAGAAAGAAAGAAAGAAAGAAGAAAGGAAGGAAGGAAGGAAGGAAAAAAGACAGAAAGAAAGGGAAGGAAGGAGAGAAAGAAAGAAAGAAAGAAAGAAAGAAAGAAAGAAAGAAAGAAAGAAAGAAAGAAAGAAAGAGGGAGGGACGGTTTGGCCACAGCAACCTGTGGTGGGTACAGCTAGTGTGTATGTATGTCTTTAAATGGTTTTTAATGGTGTATTTTAATATTTAGATAAATATTTTTAATGTTTATGTTTGTGTATATGGATTCTTGTCCCGGTATTGAATGTTTGCTGTATATATGCTGTGCTCTGCCCTGAGTCCCCTTCGGGGTGAGAAGGGCGGAATATAAATGTTTTATATACATCAGGGAACTCGAAAGTCAAAAGCGCATCCTCACCTTTGGATATTTGCCAATTTCCGCAATGCTTTCAGGGGAGTAGAGTTCTCGCAGGCGGGTTGTCCAAGGCCCAGCCGCCCGAATGTGGAGGCTCAGGGTGTCCTCGTGGGGGGCAGAGGTCAGGGTGAAGGGGTGGTACTCATTGGTCCCCAGGGACAGGCAAGCAATCCGAACCCACTGCCCAGACCTGTATTCAAAGTCCTGGGGCCTTTGGAACTGAAGGTTAGTCACACCTGCGTCAGGGAAACAGGATTTCTTACATGTCTGCCATTAAAGCACAAGGCATCCTGTCCTAAACAACTAGCCTGGACTAGTCAATTCCATATATATATTGAGTGGATGATGGGGTAATCCTAGAATCTGTTGATGAATAGTGTTCAATTTTTGATCCACAGATCTTTTAAAAAGGCTAAAAAAGTCCCCCTTGGCTTATACTTGAGTCAATATTATTCATTATTTTACTTTATCATCATCATCATCATCATCATCATCATCATCACCACCATCATTTTACTCTATTATTACATTTCCATTTTTTTACTTTATTATTATTATTATTACACTTATTATTTTACTCTCTTTATTATTATTGGAAGGATACGCAAGCATATTTACATTGAAAAAGGTTAGAATAATGGTTTAATCAGAGTTGGACAGTCTTATCTTAAACTACAGTTTTAGGTAAATATTCAAAAACATTTAACCTAATGATGCCCCAATTAATATAATTGTATTCGTACCTATTTTTATTTCGAAATTTACCAGTAGCTGCTGCATTTCTAGCCCTCACCTTATATTCGAGTCAATCCATCTTCCTCGTTTTTTGTGGTAAAATTAGGTGCCTTGGTTTATATTTGGGTCGGCTTGTACTCGAGTATACATGGTAGCTATATAATTGTCCCAGCTAATTGAAATATGTATGTATGTATGTATGTATTTATTTATTTATTTACACCATTTCTACCTCGCCCTTCTCACCCCCGAGGGGGGACTCAGGGCGGCTAACACAGGCAGCAATTCGATGCCACAGTATCAGTAACATAATATAAAATCATCATACATAGCAAAGTTAAAAACAGCAACATTAATTAAAATCACATAATCCCATAATCACAAATCACAAAGTCACATAGCCGTTTCCAATTGTCGTAACAGCCCTATGGTCCGGGTTCAAGTGTCTAAAGTGCTGCTGTGCCCACTAGCCAAAGGCCTGGGTCCAAAACCACAATTTTAGTTTTTTTTCCTAAAAGAAAGGAGGGAGGACGACGATCTGATCTTGCAGAGGAGCGAATTCCATAAGCGGGGGGCCACCACTGAGAAGGGATATACGTTCAGACAAGTAACCTGGACCGGAGCCGTATAGGGTTTTATAGGCCAATATGAGCACTTGGAATTGTGCTTAGAGGTGGACCAGCAGCCATGGAGCTGACATAACAGGGGGTTGGTGTGCTCCCTGTATGGTGCTCCGGTGAGTAATCTGGCTGCTGCCCGTTGGACTAGTTGGAGTCTCCGAACAGTCTTCAAAGGCAACCCCACGTAGAGTGTGTTGCAGTAATCTATTCAGGATGTAACCAGAGTGTGGACCACCGTGGCCAAGTCAGACTTCTCAAGGTACGGGTGCAGCTGGCGCACAAGCTTTAATTGGGTCTCACCTGTAGATCTTAACATCCTGGTGCTTCTGCCCACCAGAAATATCCTGGTGCTTCTGCCCAGCAAACCCAGGAGGCCCAGATACTGCTGCAATGCTGTTGATGACATATCCTGGGCTCTTTAATGGAGAGAGAGACTAGTTGTAACCAAGTGCGTACCTGAGGGGAGCAGTTCTGCCTTCACCACAGCAATTTCCACTTTCTTCCTGCTCAAGCTGAGGAGTTTGTCTCCTCCATAGAGAAGGGCTGGGACAATGAAGTAAATATGGAAGCGGGGCTGCTGAATCAGAGCATAGCTGCCATGGATGATGACCTAGGGGACATGTAAGCAAAGGTTACCAAAGGCACATCAAGATCAGAAAATCACTGCAGGTTCTGCCAAGGTTTATTGTAACAACCCATGTGATACCAGCTAAGCATGAAGGTTCAGGAATAGGTTACCAGGATATAGAGAAGGACGTAAAGATGATGGGTGATCCAGAAGCCCTGGAAGCTAATTCGCCTGAAGTGGTGAGTTGCAAAGACATACATGATGGCGAGGATGACCAAAAGTAGCACCCCGGTCATGCCTATGGGAAACAGAAAGAGCGAGATGGAAGATGTGGTGAAGTAGAGGACCAAGCTCCTGGAAGACCACAATATACGTGACACCATTATGTCAATCGAATCTTACCTGGGACTGTTTCAAAAAACCACCAATAATATTTGGGAGGATATTGTGACCTGAAAAGAAAAAAAAGTGGCATGATTGGAAGATCTGACAAACCTAAATGCACCGATGTCATTGAAGTTTGGAAAGGGAGCAGGGTTAGACTGAGTTATGACTTGGTTGGAAGATCAAACCAACCTAAACTCACCTGATCTTATGAGAGTTTGGAAAAGCAGCAAGGTTAGGCTTAGTTATGACGGATGGAAAATCAGACCAGCCTAAATACAACTGACCACATGGGAGTTTGGAAAGGCAGCAGGGTTAGGCTTAGTTATGATTTGGATGGAAGATCAGGCCAACCTACATACACCTGATCTCATGGGAATTTGGAAAAGCAGCAGGGTTAGGCTTAGTTATGACTTGGATAGAGGATCAGATCAACCTAAACACACCTGATCTCATAGGAGTTTGGAAAAGAAGCAGGGTTAGACTCAGTTATGACTTGAATGGAAGATCAGACCAACCTAAACACAACAGATCTCATAGGAGCTTGGAAAACCAGTAGGGTTGGACTTAGTTATGGCTTAGTTATGGCAACAGGGTTAGGCTTAGTTATGACTTGGATGGAAGATCAGACCAACCTAAACACATCAGATTATGACTTGGATGGAACCTAAACGCACCTGATCTCATGGGAATTTGGAAAAACAACAGGGTTAGACTCTGTAATGACTTGGATGGAAGATCAGGCCAACCTAAAAACACCTGGGCACATGGGAGTTTGGAAAACCAGTAGGGTTAGACTTAGTTATGACTTGGATGGAAGATCAGATCAACCTAGACACACCTGACCACATGGGAGTTTGGAAGACCAGTAGGGTTAGACTTAGTTATGACTTGGATGAAAGATCAGACCAATCTAAACACATCAGATTATGACTTGATGGAACCTAAACACACCTGATCTCATGGAAATTTGGAAAAGCAGCAGGGTTAGTTATGACTTGGATGGAAGATCAGACCAACCTAAACACACCTGACCACATGGGAGTTTGGAAAACCGGTAGGGTTAGACTGAGTTATGACTTGGATGGAGGACCATCAGAGAGTAACAGGGATCTCCAGATAAAATTCTTCCTGAAACCTCCAAATGCCAATGCTAGGACTGGGCTGGACAACTGGGTTTCTCCTTGGGTGGAACTGCACTAAAATCATTCAAGGTAAGGCAGTGATTACTAAGCTTAAAGGTATCTTCTTCAAAGTTTCAATTCTCCTGTAACAAATGTGTTGCTATAGACAAGTGTGCATTGTCATTCTTAGTGGGGATTCCCATCACTCTTTACCTCAAATTACTTTCCATAAGCCTGTTTAAACTCTTCTGGAGATCTTTCACAAAACATATTTATTTAAGGAGAAGTATCTCAATTACCAAGGCCATAGAGACCGGAAAACTCACAGCAACCCAAAGATTAAACTGTTCTTGTTCAACAAGTATTGTTTCCAGCACAAACCATTCGTAGAAAATAAATACACATTGACTTTTGGATTTGCCAATGGGATTAAGAGAAATGTCTACTGGTCATTCATGGGAGGTAATTTCCCATCCTTTTCTTTGAAGTTGAACAAGGAAGTAAAGCCATGTGTCAAAACCCATCAAATGAAGTATCCCCTGTCACCATGATACCCTGGCTCTGAAATTGGACAATTGCTCAGATGCCACACTTCATATCTTTCTCCAGTCATTTGGGTTGTCCAACTGAGGTCAACTCAACCCTCTCCATTGTATCCTAAGTTCTTATCTTACTACTCACTCACTACTCACCCATCATTCACAAAGACATTGCTGAAGAGGCAGGACAAGATACTGAGAGGAGTGACGGAGAAGATGTAGACGTTCACAACATGGCCCAAAGTGTGCAGAACTGTGGAATGCAAAGAGAGAAGGCATCGATCATGGTATCCTTCTGGGTTGTCTCTCAGGATGGGACTGGGAGGCACTGTATTGCATTGGCTCCGGTCCTTCCTGGACGACCGTACCCAGATGGTGGTGCTGAAGGACTCCTGTTTGACTTCCTGGCCTGTTGCTGTTGGGGTCCTTCAGGGTTCAATTTTGTCCCCAATGTTGTTTAACATTTACATTAAATCACTGGGAGAGATCATCTGGAGTTTTAGAGTTCAGTGTCAAATTTATGCTGATGACACCCAGCTCTTTTACTCCTTTCCAACAAAAGCCAAGGATGCTGCCCTGCCCCTAAAACAGTGCCTGTCATCAGTGATGGACTAGACGAGGGCTAATAAGTTGAAGGTAAATCCAGACAAAACAGAAGTACTTCTGGTCAGTCAGAAGGTGGATCAGGATTTAGGGTTACAGCCTATGTTGGATGCGGTCACATTCCCCATGAAGACACAGGCCCGCAGTCTGGGGGTGATCCTGGACTCATCACTGACCCTGGAACCCCAGGTGTAGGCAGTAACCAGGAGTGCCCTTGCACAACTAAAATTTATGTGCCAGCTACACCTGTGAGATGCCAGACTTGGCCATGGTAGTCCAGTCCCTGGTTACTTCCCGCCTAGACTGGTGCAGTGCTCTCTATGTGGGGCTGCCTTTGAAGATAGTTTGGAAGCTGTAATTGTTTCAGAAATCGGCAGCCAGGTTAATAGCCAGGGAGCGCCATACAGGGAGAGAGCCGCTCCCATGTTACAGCATGGGAGTGGAAACAGACTGGCTGCCGGTCTGCTTCCGGGCTAAATACAAAGTGCTGGTTATTACCTATAAAGCCCTAAATGGTCAGGCCCAGGTTATTTAAAAAATCACATCTCCGTGTACAAACCAGCATGAGGACTGTGGTACATGGACGAGGCCCTGCTCTCGGTCCCACCCCCATCTCAAGCGCAGTTGGTGAGGACGAGAGAGGAGGCCTTCTCTGTGATCACTCCCCGCCTCTGGAACTCCCTCCCTAAAGGACTAAAAATGGTCCCCTCTCTCCTCTCCTTATAAAGCTTTTAAAGACCTATTTGTGTAACTTAGCTCACAGAGAGGAGGAGGATTAACATAGTTTACATACAGTACATCTTTGCCTTGACATGACATACTTACCTCAGTGATATATTATATTATGCTTTTGATGCAATGTGTTTTAATTGGTTTGATTCCTTGTGTTTATTATGTTTATTATGTTATTATGGTCCACGCCTTGGTTACATCCAGAATGGACTACTGTAATGCACTCAACGTGGGACTGCCTTTGAAGATGACTCGGAAGCTGCAGTTAGTGCAAAGGTCGGCAGCAAGATTCCTAACCGAGGCGAGCTTTAGAGAGCATATCACACCCTTCTAAAGCAGCTCCTGGCTCCCAATGAGTTTCTGGTCCCAATTCAAGGTGCAGCTGATTACCTATAAAGCCCTGTATGCTTTGAGACTAACCTATCTTCAAGACTGCATCTCCTTCTATGAACTGGCGCGAGCATTGAGATCTGCTGGGGGAGGCCCTTCTCTTGATCCCACCACTGTCTCAAATATGGTTGGTGGGGATGAGAGAGAGGGTCTTCTCAGTAGTGGTGCCCCGGCTCTGGAATATCCCCTTGCGCCAATTCTTCCATTTCAGTTTTTTTCAACAAGCCTTCGATCTTACATAGGTTTTTAAAGATTAGTCCGAGGACTTACTGTTGGCATTACATCGGCACTGGGCTGTGTCATATTGGAAACGACTTGTTTTTATCCACAGCTATGACTGCAACTGCGAATTTCAATGTTTTACATTGTAATTATGTATGTGCGTGATTGTAACTCTATGGTTTTATTATTTTAGATTTACGTATTGTCGATATGCTGCACTTTGTTGTATTTTGTCAGGCAACGCGAGTCCTTTTGGGGAGATGGTAGTGGGGTAGAAATAAAATGTATATTATTTAGTTAAACCAGTGGTTCTCAACCTTCCTAATGCCGTGACCCCTTAATACAGTCCCTCATGTTGTGGTGACCTCCAACCATAACATTGTTTTTCTTGCTACTTCATAACAGTCATTTTACTACTGTTATAAATCATAATGTAAATATCAGATATGCAAGATGTATTTTCATTCACTGGACCAAACTGGGAACAAATACCCAATGCACCCACATATAAATGCTAGTGGGGTTGGGGGTGGATTGATTTTGTAATTTGGGAGTTGTAGCTGGGATTTATAGTTCACCTATAATCAAAGAGCATTCTGAACTCCACCAGCGATAGATTTGAACCTAATTTGCCACACAGAACTCCCATGACCTTCCAACACTGGAAGGGTTTGGTGGGTATTGACCTTGAGTTTGGGAGTTGTAGTTCATCTATATCCAGAGAGCACTGTGGACTCACGCAATGGTGGATCTGGACCAAACTTGGCACAAATATTCAATATGTGCAAATGTAAACACTGGTGGAGCCTCGGGAAAATTGACCTTGACTTTTGGGAGTTGTAGTTGCTGGGATTTATAGTTCATTACAATCAAAGAACATTCTGAACTCCACCAATGATAGAATTGGCTCAAACTCCCCACATGGAATCCCCATGACCATCAGAAAATACTGTGTTTTCTGATGGTCTTTGGCGACCCCTTTGATACCCCTTCGTGACCCCCTCAGGGGTCTCAACCCCCAGGTTGAGAAACACTGAGTTAAACTCTTAGTTTTGGTTGTTCATAAGTTATACTATGTCTATTTTATTTCATGTTTTGTCTGTTTTTGGGCATTGAATGTTTGCCATTTTATTATTTGTGTAAACCACCCTGACTCCCTTCAGGGAGAGAGGGCAGGTTATAAATAAAGTATTATTATTATTATTATTATTATTATTATTATTATTATTATCTGCACCAAAATAAAGGTTTCAATGTGATTTCAAACTCCTTGGAACAACAATGATTTCCTCTTGAGCAACTAAGGGAAATTAGAGAGCTATAAAGGAGCTCGGGTGTGTAATCAGTGAGAGATCTTGAACCAAGCACTCTCTCTTTCAGGCTAAGGCCTGAGGCCAAGCATTAGTCGACCCATTGAAGTAGTCAGGAGAGCAAGATGAAATCAAAGTGTGCTACTTCTTTGGGCTACAAGTTTCAGAAACCACCAGGTTTTTTGAATGGTACTTGTAGTACAGCGAAGCAACCATTTCCAAGCTCTAAGCCATTTGGATCTTTGATGTCACCCCCAAAAGTTAGGTTCTCATACTGACATCAACTTCAACGCATGCATCTGTTACAGCCTCTCTCTCTACCTGAGAAGATGAGAGCGCCTGTTGCAATCCAACGGTGGAAATCCACAGCAGAGTCAAAGGGGATGTAGCGATTGAAAAAGGTTTCCCGTAGAAAAGTGATGAGGTTGCGACACATGGTGAGCAGGATGAAGGAGTACATGAAGGAGATGCTGGCGCCCGCCCCACGAGAGATGAGGATGCCGACGAAGGTTGTGTCCGCAATCCCCGTCGGTGGAGATGCAAAGCCATAATCTAGGAAAAGAGCAGGATGGGTTGGAATGGCAAAGCCTGGCATTGGCTACGATCCCATGGTCTCTGCATGCTTAGATAGTAAACAAACGTACATGTCTTCCAAACCTTTGGCTAGTCCCATTTAAAAAAAACAACGACAGGTCAATGTAAAGCAATCCTAAGGGGCAAAAGAGCAATAGCAATACATATTTGGAAAGAGTTGTGCGCCAGAAAGGGTGGGGTCCAAGTTATGGTGGGGTTATTCAACTTCCTTTTATAGCAACAATATGGGGACTAAAAGCTACAGCTCAGTGCCTAGAGGTTTGAGTCACCAAAGCGGCTACTAAAATAAGTAATAAAAAAAGGCAGGGACAAGAAGTTTGGTCACAAACTTCCTCAGTTAGCAGTTAATAAGCTCTACTTGCAGCCAGTGTTGGGATGTGAGTCCGGGTTTTCAGTCGGGGGTTAGTTTGTGCTGCAAGCAGATACATACGTGGCCCTTGTGGTGGCGCTGGCCACTTTCTGCCTCCTCGGGAGGCAGATGTCCCTCCTTCCTCACAGTTTGAGGGTGTGGAGTTCTGGCTCTCAGGGCCCACTTTGCGGGCTGGCGGCGTTAAGTAGGCTGGTAACTCACAGTATGCCCTCTCCACAAAGACGCCCATGGTGATGGCGGAAAATATCACCACGCAGATGATGTGGCGCCGGTAATTCTCAATGAAGCGCTTGAACTGCTGGATCTTCAGGTGGACCTTGCTTCTCTGGAACCGCTCCCTTCGGGCCTCGGTGTACACAAAGGGCTTCGGGAAAGAGGGCCTGTAACACAGGAATGGGAAATATATTATGAATTCGTACTGATAGAGCAATAATCAAGAAACTTGAGAAAACAAAATTTAAAATGTAAATACAGAGGGGGGAAAGAGCTATTTGGGTCTTGTACTTTCCATTGTCAAGAAATCATGTGATTTACAAGAAGTCAGTTAGTCAATGTGCCAAATAAGGAATTAGAGAAGTTAGTTAGTCAATGTGCTAAATAAGGAATTAAGCCTAGGTGGTAGTTTGAAATTGGATAACTTTTGCTGCAGTGCCAAAGAGTCTTGTCTATATAATGTGAGTCTGAGAGACATTGGGAGCAGCAGCCTCTTGAAAGTACCAAGACCTGCGTGTTTGGTATGGCTGGCCGTCTCTTCATGATCATGATGAAAATAAACCTTGCTTTTGTACTTCTCCTGAGACTGGGTGTTTGTCTTTCTGCCTCCTGCGACCGGACCGAATGCAGAGACCCTGAATTGGGGTCCCTAACAGTACGAGGGATTTATTTTGTGCTCCAATCAGCCCAACTTCCACTGGTCAATGAACTGTCTTCATTTAATCCCCTGGTCATTGAATTAATTTGAAGTCAGCCACAGAATTGTGCTGGAGGACCTACAAATGCCTCTAGATCAGTGGTCCTCAACCTTCCTAATGCCGTGACCCCTTAATACAGTTCCTCACCTTGTGGTGACCCCCAACCATGACATTATTTCTATTGCTACTTCATAACTAATTTTGCTCCTGTTATGAATCTTAATGTAAATATCGGATATGCAGGATGTATTTTTGTTCACTGGACCAAATTTGGCACAAATACCCCATACACCCAAATTTGAATACTGGTGGGGTTGGAGGGGGGATTGATTTTGTCATTTGGGAGTTGTAGTTGCTGGGATTTATAGTTCACCTACAATCAAAGAGTATTCTGAACTCCACCAGTGATAGAATTGAACCAGTCTCAGCACACACAACTCCCATGACCAACAGGAAGAGTTTGGTGAGCATTGACCTTGAGATTTGGAGTTATAGTTCACCTGCATCCAGAGAGCACTATGGACTGAAACAATGATGGATCTGGACCATACTTGGCATGGATACGCAATATGCCCAAATGTAAACACTGGTGGATTTTGGGGAAAATATACCTTGACATTTGGGAGTTGTAGTTGCTGGGATTTATAGTTCACTTACAATCAAAGAGTATTCTGAACTCCACCGGCGATGGAATTGAACCAAACTTGGTACACAGAACTCTCAAGACCAACAGAAAATACTGGAAGAGTTTGATGGGCATTGAACTTGAGTTTTGAAGTTGTAGTTCACCTACATCCAGAGAGCACTGTGGACTCAAACAATGATGGATCGGGACCAAACTTGGAACGAAAACACAATATGTCTAAACGTGAACACTGGTGGAGTTTGGGAAAATAGACCTTGACATTTGTGAGTTGTAGTTGCTGGGATTTATAGATCACCTACAATCAAAAAGTTCTTTCTCCCACCCTGGACCTTCCACAGATATATAAACCCAATGTTCCTAGTTTCCAATACCCCTCACAACCTCTGAGGATGCTTGCCACAGATGTAGGTGAAGTGTCAGCAGATAATGCTTCTATAACGTGGCCATACCGCCCAAAAAACCTACAACAACCCAATTATAGTTGGCCCTCTGTATCCACAGATTCTCCATCCATAGATTTAATGGCCCTTTGAAGGCAACGATGAGGCTGATGTAGCCCTTGATGAAAATGAGATGTATATGGTTGATATTGATTGCCTAGGAATCTGGGCTGGGATCCTCCATGCTCCTCTCTGCCTCACTCTATAACCTGGAGGTTGAGATATTGGAGTAGATCACTCTCAAAGGCAGTATGGCCATATTTGTGTATCATCTTGCAAAGCCTTCCTTTACTCTGTGGCCCAGAAGCTGAGTGCAAGGCAAACAATTCATAGCCCGAAGTACAATTTAATTGTGTATACAATGCAAATGATATGTTTGCCTCGAGCAACGCCCTGATAAACAACTGTCATCGGCACACTGAATCACTGGCAGCGTGCAGAAGCCGGGAGGCACTTATGGTCATATGGTGACTCTCAAGGCACGCAATGATTAGAGATGCCGGAGATAAATCAGAAAAGGCAAATGAATCATAAGGTTGTCTAAAGATATACAGTATATCTATATTTAGCAGTATTTCTCAACCTTCCTAACGCCACGTCCCCTTCATACAGTTCCTCATGTTGTGGTGACCCCCAAACATAACATTATTTTCATTGGTATTTCATAACTGAGATTTTGCTCCTGTTATTAATCGTAATGTAAATATCTGATATGTAGGATGTATTTTCTGGATCAAATTTGGCACAAATACTCAACATACTCAAATCTGAATACTGGTGGGGTTGGGGAGAGGGATTGATTTTGTCATTTGGGAGTTGTAGTTGCTGGGATTTATAGCTCACCTATACTCAAAGAGCATTCTGAATTCCACCAACATTGGAATTGAACCAAACTTGGCACACAGAACTCCCAAGACCAACAGAATATATTGGAAAGGTTTGGTGGGCACTGATCTTGCGTTTGGAAGTTGTAGTTCACCTACATCCAGAGAGCACTGTGGACTCAAACAATGATGGATCTGGACCAAACTTGGCATGGATACTCAGTATGTCCAAATGTGAACGCTGGTGGAGTTTGGGGAAAATAGAGCTTGACATGTGGGAGTTGTAGTTGCTGGGGTTTATAGTTTGCCTACAATCAAAGAGAATTCTGAACTCCACCAATGATGGAATTGGGCCAAACTTCCCACACAGAACCCCCAAGACCAACAGAAAATACGATGTCCTCTGACGGACTTTGGCGACCCCTCTGACACCCTCTCGTGACCCCACCCCCCAGGATCCCGACCCCCAGCTTGAGAAACGCTGATATATAACCTTCCTATATTCACTCTGTTTTATTTGGAGGAGTATAATTGTCACTTGTGGGACCAATTTTTAGCAGAAAGTTGGTGCAAAATCACTACAGAAAGTCACTTTCGGAGATGCATTCGAGGTTTCAGCAAATACTGCATCGATCAGCAATATTTCCTGGTTTGGGAAGATTCAAATATTTGCTAAATGATGTCTCAGGAGACCCAGTGGGCTGAGAAATAACAAGTGAATGCTTCAAATAATCAAATATTGATGTGTTTAAAGAAACACCTACTTTTTGACCGGTCTCTTCCGCAGGTCTTGACCCTGGTTTTCTCCAGAAGGAGCCTCGCCCTCTGGAATCGGGGGTGTGTCGTGGTTTAGGATTTCACTGCAAAAAAACAGCAGACAAACACTTTCCAGAGAAGCCGCTTATCTAGGACAGGCCGAGAGTTCAAGCCATTGTTTCCAAACCACTGGGCTGGACCCAACCCCCAGGTTGAGAAAGTGTGCTCTAAGCAAACTATATATCCTCTCCTTTAATATCTTGCAAAACCTTCATCACAATTTACCACCTTTTCATGATCTCTACTTGACCCCAGTTTGGGAGGGACATTCTCCATTAATGAACAATTTTTCAAACATAAGGTCTCTGAGAGCCAGACTGTTTGCTTACCCGTTTTCTCTACTTCTGTGTAAGAACGAGATGCGATTGATTGCATTTTGTCTCAGTCGGTCTGGAACGCCTTTGGATGACAGAAAGGGAAATCTGCTATCAGCAAAGATTTTGCACAGCTTGGGGAAGAGGGAAAAGGAGTGGTTCTTTGGGAGTAGTAAGGGTCAAGGTTTCTCCTTGACGTTAAGTTTAGTGGTGTCCGTCTCTGAGGGTTGGTGCTCATCTCTATTTCTAAGCCGAAGAGCCGGCATTGTCCATAGACACCCCCAAGGTCATGTGGCCAGCATAACTGCATGGAGCGCAATTACCTTCCTGCTGGAGTGGTACCCATTGATCTACTCACATTTGCATGTTTTCGAACTGCTGGGTTGGCAGAAGCTGGCACTAACAGCAGGAGCTCACGCCGCTCCCCAGATTCGAACCGCCAACCTTTCAATCAGCAAGTTCAGCAGCTCAGCAGTTTAACCCACTGTGCCACCAGGGGCTCCTTGGTAGGGCTTGGCAAAATTATTGTTTGAATAACAACTCCCATAATGCTGATCAGGAATTCTGGGAGATGTGGTCCAAATAATATTGCTAAGGTCTGCCTCTCAAGCTGGTTTCTCAAATCAAAGATCTACCAATCTGGTGTCCTGTTTTCTACAAAGGATATGAAAAGGAAGAAAGGAAAGAAGGATGCAAGCAAGGAAGCCAGGGAGGAAGAAAGGGGGGAAGCTAGGCAGGAAAGAAGGAAGGAAAGAAGGAATGAAGGAAGTGAGGAAAGTAGGAAGGATGGAAGGGAAGGAAGGAAAGAAGGGAGGGAGGGAGGAAAGTAGGAAGGAAAGAAGGGAGGAAGCAAGGGAGGAAGGGAGGGACGAAAGAAAGAAGGAAAAAAAGAAGCAAAAGAAGGAAGGAAGGAAGCAAGGGAGGAAGTGAGAAAGGAAGGGAGAGAGGAAGGGAGAGAGGGAGGAAAGTAGGGATGAAAGAAGGAAGGAAACAAGGAAGGAAGTGAAGGAAGAAGGAAATAAGCAAGGGAGAGAGGCAGAAAAGTAGGGAGGAAAGTAGGAAGGAAAGAAGGAAGTGAGGAAAGTAGGAAGGAGAGGAAGGTAGGAAGGAAGGAATCCAGGAAGAAAGTGAGAAAGGTAGGCAGGGAGGAAAGAAGGAAGGAAGCGAGGAAGAAAGCAAGGGAGGAAAGAAGGAAGAAAGTCAGGAAAGTAGGAAAGAAGCAAAGAAGGAAGGGAGGAAGGGAGGGAGGAAGGAAGGGAGGAAAGTAGGAAGGAAAGAAGGAAGTGAGGAAAGAAGGAAGGAAGGTAAGAAGGAAGGAAGCAAGGAAGGAAGTGAGAGAGGAAGGCAGGGAGGAAAGAAGGAAGCTAATCAGCAAGCAAGGAAGTGAGAGAGGAAAGCAGGGAGGAAAGAAGGAAGGAAGCGAGGAAGAAAGCAAGGGAGGAAAGAAGGAAGAAAAGGAAAGTAAGAAGGAAGCAAAGAAGGAAGGGAGGAAGGAAGGGAGGAAAGTAGGAAGGAAAGAAGGAAGTGAGGAAAGAAGGATGGAAGGTAAGAAGGAAGGAAGCAAGGAAGGAAGTGAGAAAGGAAGGCAGAGAGGAAAGAAGGAAGCAAGTATAAAAGCAAGGAAGTGAGGGAGAAAAGTAAGGAGGAAAGAAGGAAGCGAGGAAGGAAGTGAGAAAGAAAGGCAGGGAGGAAAGAAGGGGGGAGGAAAGAAGGAAGGGAAGAAGGAAGAAAGCGAGGAAGGAAGGAAGGAAACAGCTAGGTAGATAGAAAGGTAAATATTCTCAGAACGTATCGGGCACAACCTAACTATTTTTATCATTTAATTGCTTGTCATTTCTAAAGTGCTTTCCCACTGTTTCTGTATCTCCATTTATTATGAACCACTTAGGAATGTCATAACATTAAGTGCCATACAAATACAAATAAGCAACAACAAGACCATAAATAACAAAATACTATAATAATCAGACTTGTGGGAAGAGAGCACAAGAGCCAGGCCGTTACTGTAACTATGTTATAACCAAATGTTGATCTGCCTTGAGATTCACAGTGAGACATCTCACTGAAATGCCAGAAATTGGAAGCGTGAAGGGCAACATTCTTCTTTGGAAGGGCACCTCATAGCTACATTCCTCCCTTTTGCTCCCGCTGACCTTTCAGACAGAGCTGTGTGCAGCGAAGTTCATTGTCGTGGTCCCGCAACATATAGTGAAAGTCTTCCCAGGTGAGTTCCTCCTTATCTTGGAATCCGGACTCCCGGAACAAGGACTCAATGGCTTCCTCAGTCTGATCCCGCGAGAGGCAGTTGTTAGAGATTTCAATGAAGGATCTAGAATGGGAGACAATTCAGCGCAGGTCAGCAAAACAGTGTGAATCAAAAGCATAAGGAAGGAACATCTACACTGTAGAATTGATGCAGTTTGACACCACTCTGATTGTTGTGGCTCAATAATATGGAATCATAGGAACTGTAACTTAAGAAGTATTGAGAGTTCTTGGCCAAAGAGTGCGACAACTTCCACGTTTGCCCAGGCCTGTTCTAGATCTCTTTAGATGCTGAACTTCCAAACTTAGCCAATTTACTTCTCCCTTAGCGATGGCGATGGTGCTGGTGATGGAGGTGGCGGTGATGGTGATGGAGGTGGTGGTGGCAGTGATGGTGGTGGTGATGGAGGTGGTGGTAATTGTAATAGCGATGGCAATGGTGAAGGAGGTGGCGGTGATGGTGGTGATGGAGATGGAGGTGGTGGTGGCGGTGATGGTGGTGGTGATGGTGGTGATGATGGAGGTGGTGGTAATGGTAATGGCAATGGCAATGGTGAAGGAGGTGGTGGTGATGATAGTGATGGAGTTGGAGGTGGTGATGGCAGTGGTGATGGCGGTGGTGATGGTGGTGATGATGGAGATGGTGGTAATGGTAATGGCGATGGCAATGGTGAAGGAGGTGGTGGTGATGGTGGTGATGGAGGTGGTGGTGGCGGTGATGGTGGTGGTGATGGAGGTGGTGGTAATGGTAATGGTGCTGGCAATGGTGAATGAAGGAGGTGGTGGTGATGGTGGTGATGGTGATAGAGGTGGTGGTGGCGGTGATGGTGGTGGTGATGGAGGTGATGGTAATGGCGATGGCAATGGCGAAGGAGGTGGTGGTGATGGTGGTGGTGATGGTGATGATGATGGAGGTGGTGGTAATGGTAATGGTGATGGCAATGGTGAAGGAGGTGGTGGTGATGGTGGTGATGGAGATTACTAGCAGCCTCCTGCCATGCGTTGCTGTGGCCCAGTCTGTGTATATGTGTTTTGTGTGTGTATATATGTGTGTGTATATATATTTGTTTATATGTGTATATATGTTGTTTTGTGCATGCGCTGTAGCGTCTTCTTGCTTTTTTGGCCTTTTAAGTCTCCTCTGTTGTGTTTTTTAGTATTTTATGAGTGATGGTCACTCGTTGGCGGTGTCTTGTGTCCAAATTTGGTGTCAATTCATCCAATGGTTTTCAAGTTATGTTAATCCCATAAACAAACATTACTTTTTTATTTATATAGATTATATATTATATTATTTTTATAATTCAAAATGATTTGGCCTCTTGCAGATGACACAGGCTGCATCTACACTGTATCACTGATACAGTTTGACCTCATATGCTATGGTATCATTGGAATTTGTAGTTCTCCAAAGTCTTCTCTGTTGAAGAGAGTTGATGCCTCACCAAACTAGAGTTTAAGTGGTGTCAAGCTGCATTCATTCCACAGAATAAGTGCACTACAAGTCAGTAAGAATAAACAGAAATGCCTAGTTTCCCGTGCTGTCCATAGGGGAGAATTTGGGGATTGGAAGTCCACAGTTCTATGCAGTAGAATGAGTAGGAGGTTCCCCCCAAAAGAGGTTGGTTACAAAGCTGCAAGGCCCTAAAGCAATAACAGGTACCTCAGCATCCTAAAGAATTCATCTTTGGAAAGGAAGCCATTCCCATCTATGTCATACATTTGGAACATCATCTTGGATTTTTCCTGCGGCGATCCTAAGAAAAAGAAAGAGGGAGGGAACACACAGCATAAGTAAACATAAGATTGCATCAACACTGCTTTAACAGCCATGACTCAATGCTATAGAATTATGGAAGCTGTCGTCTGCAAAGGTCATTAGCATTCTCTATCAAAGTGTTAGTGCCTCACTAAACTACAATTTCCAGGACCCCATTGCATTGAGCCATGACAGTTCAAGTTGCATCAAACTGCATTCACTCAGTGTAGATGCTCTGCTAGTTTGAAGCTGAAAGGAGCTCTCCAAGGTCCTTAGTTCAAAATGCGAGGGTTGAATGAAAAGTTGAATGAAAATTGCATTCGAAGTACCCCTGACAGATGGCCATCCAGCCTCTGTTCAAAAGCTTCCAAAGAAGGAGCCTCCAGTTCTCACACTCTTCCTAATGTTCAGATGGAATCTCCTCTCCTCATAGTTTCATAATATAATATAATATAATATAATATAATATAATATAATATAATACAACATATTGTATTTACATATAATATTTGTAATATTATAATGCAATAAAATATAATACTTCTAATAATAATACAATATTATATTTATATGTTTTATATTACATGTAATATTACTAATAATATTACAATATAATGGTGTGAACTCCCTGTTTGAGCAGTGATGGCACGATCGTCAGCATAGATGAAATTCTCCCCAAGGAAGAAATAGATCAACTTGGGCCTTCCAGGTGTTTTGGACTCCAACTCCCACCATTCCTAACAGCCTCAGGCCCTTTCCTTTCCCCTCTCAGCAGCTGCCAGAAGCGACAGACAGTTTCACCTATGCTGACGATCATGCCATCACCGCTCAAGCAGGGAGCTTAAGTAGCTGAGGGGGAAAAGGAAGGGACTTGAGGCTGTTAGGAATGGTCGGAGTTGAAGTCCAAAAGGGGACAGTTCCACCTTGTTTCCTGTGCTATTCTAATAATATAATATAATATAATATAATATAATATAATATAATATAATATAATGTATATACATATAATATTTATCATATTATAATGTAATGTAATATAATTCTACTACTAATAATATGGTATTATAATTATATATTTATATTACTTCTAATATTACTAATAATATTATAACACAATGGTATAATACAATATAGTAATATATAATACTGATATTGTACTATGCTAATACTTTAATATATTATATGTATATATATATCTTGTAAGCCACTCTGAGTCCCCTTTGGGGTGAGAAGGGTGGCATATAAATGTTGTAAATAAATAAATAAATAAAACCATTAAAACACATATATTAAAAAACACAAACCTAAGATGAAAACTTGTTGAAATCATTCATACCATAAAATGCATATTTAGATCCATAGACTAAAAATGACTGGGTATATAGATAGGTAAAGGGTTCCCCTTGACATTAAGCCTAGTTGTGTCCGACTCTGGGGGTTGGTGCTCCTCTCCATTTCTAAGCCAAAGAGCCGGCATTGTCCATAGACACCTCCAAGGTCATGTGGCCAGCATGACTGCATGGAGCACTGTTACCTTCCCGCAAAAGCAGTACCTATTTATCTACTCACATTTGTATGTTTTCGAACTACTAGGTTGACAGAAGCTGCACCTAACAGCGGGAGCTCACCCCATCCCTTGGGTTTGAACTGCCGACCTTCCAGACAGCAAGTTCTGGAAGTGGTGCAGCTTAGCAGTTTAACCCGCTGCACCACTGCTTTATTATTTACTACTCTTCATACAGTCCAATCCCGTATACACAGGACTGGTTTCCATGGTTTCATTTATCCATATGCGGTAAAATATGCCCTCTCTAGACATTTTCTAGGTCCTCCAGTGCAACTCTACGGTATTCATGAGTCAAAAGTCCTTTGATTTCAATAGGGTTGGCTACTGTATCCACATGAAGTTTAGGAACATATCTCCCATGGATACAAGGGTCATACTTGTCCCCATATAAGCCACCCTGAGTCCCTTTAGAAAGATGGAGGTGGGGTACAAAAATAAAGTTGTTGTTGTTATTGTTGTTGTTGCTGTTGTTATTATTATTATTCTGTATTCAACATTTTTTTCTGAAAGCAAGTTTTTTGGAAATATGTTGTGGGAATATTCTAGCATGTTGAACTGTGTGCCAAATTCAGACTCAAAGTCACAAGTCACCTTTCATAAAGACCACTAAGATGTCCAGGAACTCCCGGAAGGAGAGGTATCCATTGCCGTCTTTGTCCGCAAGAGAGAACATGGAGTCCACAAACACGGACTGGGACTTGAGGCCCAAAGCGTCCGCAAACTCCGCCCGGCTCAGCTCCGACTTGAGCGCTTCTTTGGCTTTCTGCGAAGCCTCCAGGCTCAGCTCCCCAGCGTCTAATCTGTCAATGTCAAGAACCTGAAAAGGGAAGGTTGGCCGTTGAGTACCCGGAACTGCCTTCTTGACATCTCCTACAATAGAGCCACCGAAATCTAAATAAAACGGGGACGCCCTTCTCCCTGCCCTGCAAATATTGGTCTATGTATAACCTCAAGAATGGATCAATCTGCGTCACAGTGCTTCGGAACATCAATATGAACAAAAAGATAGGCAAGGAATTTCCCGCAAAGAAAAGCAACTCAGAGGAGGAGAATGAGGAAGGATGAGTAACTCTGTTCAGAGGCAAGGGTCTCAGGCTGGATTTGACCTGCCATATAATTCAGTTTCAGAATGCAGATGAACTGCTTTGAAGGGGATTATTTCGGTCTAAACTGCCATATAATCCAGTTAAATGCTGTTGATCACCACCACCACCTCCATCACCACCAACATCTCCATCACCACCGCCACCTCCATCACCATCTCCATCACCATCACCACTACCTCTATCACCATCTGCATCACCATAATCACCACCACCACCCCTCTATCACCATGGCCATCACCACCGCTATCACCACCACCTCCATCACCACCACCACCTCCATCACCACCACCATAACCTCTATCACCACCTCCATCACCCTAATCACCACCACCACCTCTATCGCCACCTCCATCACCATAACCACCACCACCACCACCACCTCTATCACCACCGCCATCACCACCACCACCTCCATCACCACCACCATCACCACCGCCATCAAAATCACCACCACCATCACCATCACCACCACCACCACTGCCATCGCCATCACCACCGCCATCACCACCGCCATCACCATCACTACCACCACCATTTCCTTCACCACCACCATCACCATCACCTCACCACCACCACCACCAGGCCTGTTCTAGAATGTAACTCATCCTTTTCCGAACTGGAAAACTAGAGGATTGAGGGAAAGAAACCATTCTGGGAACCGTTCCTTCAGGATGCTTCAGTATCTTGTAATGTTATCTTCTGACAACGTCACTTTCTCCTCTTACTTTTTCTGGATTGGATTTTCGAAAAACTAACACTTGGCGAATGCTCCGCCTCTACATAAAAAAGTCTTTTCACATACCTGGGCAAAGGACTGCCGGAAGAAAATCTCCAGGATGTCCTTCCTCTGCTTCTTGGTCACTGCTTTCTGGAGCAGCTGTTGCTGTTTCATCTCTGAAATGTGGAGAGAAAGTCCACTTCTCTCCAGATAGGTTTTCAGCTGGCCAAGAAAGTCCTTGCACTCCACCTCGCCATTGAACATCAACACCTGTGGGGCAACATCCGCCATGTTATTCGTGACATATGCAGCTGCGCATCATACTGCACATACAGAGTTTTAAATTGGGAAGGCTGAATACCCTTTGCAATCATGAACGCATTGCGATGACCCTTGGCCGACTTGGCTTCTCGCTTACCAGCTAAGCGAGAGCTCCTCTGGACCCATAATTCTAAGTGTTCTTGCCTGCTCGTTATTTCACTATCTTCAAGGCTCTCTTTATCTTGATCCAGCTGAACTAGATCACTGTGGGAAGGCTGAGGAGGCGAAGACAACTCCACCTGGCCATTATCTATCACACTGACATTCTTTTCTCCTGAGAACTGACGATGTTTCCCCTGCTGCATTGTCTGAGGCAGGCACAGAAATCTGAATCCCATCATCCTTTTCATCAGGGAACTCCGGCTCACAAGACCCACAGGGTTCAGTTTCAGACTCAGAATCAAACTGAGTCACAACACACACTTGCTTCCCACTCTGGACATATGTAAACCTCACTTGCCTAGTTTCCAACAAACCTCACAAGCTCTGATGGCACCTGCCATAGATGTGGGCAAAACGTCAGGAGAGAATGCTTCTGGAACATGGCCATACAGCCTGGAAAACCACAGCAACCCAGTGATTCTGGCCATGAAAGCCTTCAACAACACATTTGCCAAGTATTGATCATGCTACATACCAGATCATATTCTTTAGGGATTTTCAGAAGCAAAGTCTTGTTGCCTTTGTTGTTAGACAAGATAGTCTCCAGCGGCTGTTGGCTTTTCAGAGTGATGGTCCGAAGCACCGACAACTTGCTGTCGAAAACCTTGATCAACCTGCCTTCATGCAATTGCAGATAGACAGGGCAACTCGGGGTCTTGGAGTCTTGCCATTCAAAGGCTGAGGACAAAGGAACGTGTCAGTAGGGCTCAGAAAGATTATTCTTAAAATAAGGAATTGATTGCAATCGGAAGATATCCTTGAAAGTGTATGCCCCACCTTGGACTCCATCCACGTTGACCTCTGTCCGGTCAGAAGGGGTTTGCTTCTTTTGCAGTTTCTTGAAATTTCTCCTCCGGAAGATGGCAACAACCCAGGCGACAAACAGACTTACTGCAGAGATACAAATACTGATAGGTTAAGTCACTGTAGCCACAATTGCCTCCTTATGCCAAGATCAGTATCGTTGGGCAACAGCCAAGGCTCACATTCCTGCCGTAACCGACATGATATTAACCTTCCTTTCTGTTGCTGCATTAACTATCACTCCTTCAGTGGCTCATGTCACATTCACACTTGGAATCTTTTAAAATGACATATTTTCTAAACTCAAATCCCTACCAGGCTGCAATGGGATGATATTAAAACGAATGACATCAAAACTCATAGTAAAGGCCTACACAACTCCAGCCCAGCTTACTTGTCCAAACGTATCTCCCTCTACATTCCGCTTCGTAGTTTAAGATCCACCTGTGTGGCCCTGCTCTCGGTCCCACCGGTCTCGCAAATGCGTCTGGTGGGGATGAGGGACAGGGCCTTCTCGGTGGTGACCCCCTGCTTGTGGAATTCACCCCCAGCAATATTTGATCACCGTCCTCCCTCCTTTCCTTTAGGAAAAAACTGAAATCGTGGTTTTGGAACCAGGCTTTTGGCAAGCAGGCACAATGGCACTTTGGACATTGAACTGGGCCATACAATGATTGTTATGATAATGGAAACTGCTATATGACTGTATAATTAATATTATTGTTTTAATCTATTATGTATTTATGGTTTTATATTGTTTGTTATATTGTGATATTGTGGCATCGAATTGTTGCCAGTGTTAGCTGCTCTGAGTCCCCCCCTCAGGGGTTGAGAAGGGCGGGGTAGAAATGTTGTAAATAATAATAATAATAATAATAATAATAATAATACTGTTTTATTTGCTTGTTGCTTTGTTTTTACTGATGTGTTGTTGGGCTTGGCCTCATGTAAGCTGCCCCGAGTCCCCTTGGGGAGATGGTGGTGGGGTATAAATAAAGTTTTATTAATGTATTGTTGAAGGCTTTCATGGCTGGAATCAATAGGTTCTTGTGGGTTTTTTCGGGCTATAGGGCCATGTTCTAGAGGCATTTCTCCTGACGATTCGCCTATGGATGCTTGCCATAGATGCAGGCGTAACGTCAGGAGAAATGCCTCTAGAACATGGCCCTATAGCCCAAAAAACCCCACAAGAACCTAAAGTATTATTATTATTATTATTATTATTATTATTATTATTATTATTATTAAACTTAATAATAAGCTTTATTTATACCCTGCCACCATCTCCCCAAAGGGGACTCGGGGCGGCTTACATGAGGCCAAGCCCAGAAATACATTACAGCAGAATACAATAAAATGAAACCAAAACAACAGAACTAAGATAATAATAAAATAGATAAAGCATAAAAATACAATAAGATAACGCGAAATAAACCAAAACAAAATAATGCAATGAAAAATCAATCACAAAAAGCAGGCCACATGTACAATATAAAATGATAAAACTCTGGATGAGGAAGAGAAAAAGAAATGTTTGTGAGGGATAAAATCGTAGGAGACGGAGTAGTGAGAACGGGCTTTCACACAGGCGGAGGGAAGTATAGTAAGAGGACAACATTATGGGAGGAGTGTCAAAAAAGAGGTGCATGGTCACTCTCCGAAAGCGCAATGAAAAGGACAAGATAATAATAATAATAATAATAATAATAATAATAAGCCATTAGAACCAATGCCTTCAAAGCCAGAATTGAAAAGTCGACAACAGATCTCAAATGTAGACTCTGCAAGGAAGCAGATGAAACAATAGATCACATCCTGAGCTGCTGCAAGAAGATTGTGCAGACAGACTACAAGCAGAGGCACAACACAATTGCTCAGGTGATTCATTGGAACTTGTGCCACAAATACCATCTGCCTGCGACAAAGAACTGGAGGGATCACAAGCCGGAAAGAGTTACAGAGAATGAACACGCCAAACTCCTCTGGGACTTCTGGATTCAGACAGACAGAGTTTTGGAGCATAATACTCCTGACCTCACAATCGTGTTAAAAAACAAAGTATGGATCGTTGATGTCGCAATCCCAGGTGACAGCAAGATTGAAGAGAAACAACTGGAAAAGCTGACACAATATGAGGATTTAAAGATCGAACTGCAAAGACTCTGGCACAAGCCAATCAAGGTAGTCCCAGGGGTGATCGGCACACTGGGTGCAGTGCCTAAAGACCTTGGCCTGCACTTAAACACAATTGGCGCTGACAAGATTACCATCTGCCAGATGCAGAAGGCCACCCTAACTGGGAGCTGCATGCATTATTCGCGGATACATCACACAGTCTTACACACTTGGGAAGTGTCCGACGTGTGATCCAATTCAACAGCCAGCAGAGTGCCTGCTGTGGACTCATCTTGTTATGTTTCAAATAATAATAATAATAATAATAATAGTAATAGAAATATATCTGGAACTTTGAGTAAAGGTATTTAGCATCTCTAAGGAGAGTGTTTTCCAAAAGTTGGGCTTAAATTCCAAAAGAAAAGATCCCATGCAGTTCGGCCAGTAGTTAGGTCTTTTGGGAGCTAAAGTTCAAAATATCTGAAAGACCCAAGTTTAGGAAAGCCCAGCCATAGGACACAAAGCCAGCCCAGCATTTCCTTAGGATATGAAGTAACCATTCAGACTTGGACCCAAACAAACCTAGAGGCAAGCAGCATAAGGCAGTGATGAGGATCCCAAATCCGGCGCCACTCCCTTTGAAATAATCCAGGATGGTTAGATGCACACAGTGGGGCAACTGCTGTCGATTCACTGGCCAGGTAAGCCTCTGACACGGAGCATCTGAAAACATAAGATAAGCCAGTATATGTTTTAATATTTATTTAGATTAGCCTCATGTTTAATTCTACTTTAGCGTTTGTTTGTTGTAGGTTTTAAAATGATACGTTGTATTGTCTTTAGCATTGTTAGACGCTTAAGAGTGGTGCAATTCTAGCATTGGTGGAGTTCAAAATGTTCTTTGATTGTGGGTGAACTATAAATTCCAGTAAATACAACTCTAAAATGTCAAGGTCTATTTTCCTCAAACTCCATCAGTGTTCAGATTTGGGCATATTGAGTATCCATGCCAAGTTTGATCCTGATCCATCATTGTTTGAGTCCACAGTGTTCTCTGGATGTAGGTGAACTACAACTCTACAACTCAAGGTCAATGCCCACCAAACCCAGTATTTTTTGTCAGTCTTGGGAGTTCTGTGTGCCAAGTGTGGTTCGATTCCATCATTTGTGGAGTTCAGAATGCTCTTTGATTGTAGGTGAACTATAAATCCCAGCAACTACAACTCCCAAATGACCAAATAAATCCTCTCCCAACTCCACCAGTATTCAAATTTGGGCGTATCAGATATTTGGGTCAAATTTGGTCCAGTGAATGAAAATAAATAAGTAAAGAGAACTCCAATTACCAACAGAAAATACTGGAAGGGTTTGGCGGGCATTGGCCTTGAGTTTTGGAGTTGTAGTTCACCTATATCCAGAGAGCACTGTGGACTCAAACAATGACGCATCTGGACCAAACTAGGCACACATCCTTGATATGTCCAAATGTGAACACTGGTGGAGTTTGGGGAAAATAGACTTGACATTTGGGAGCTCTAGTTTCTGGGATTTATAGTTCACCTGCAATCAAAGAGTATTCTGAACTCCACCAATGATGGAATCGAATCAAACTTGGCACACAAAATTCCCATGACCAACAGAAAATATTGGAATGGTTTGGTGGGCATTTGCCTTGAGTTTTGAAGTTGTAGTTCACCTCCATCCAAAGAGCACTGTGGACTCAAAACAATGACCGATCACTTGGCACAAATCCTCAATAGGCCCAAATGTGAACACTGGTGGAGTTTGGGGAAAATAGATTTGGCATTTAGGAGTTGTAGTTGCTGGGGTTTATAGTTCACCTACAATCAAAGAGCATTCTGAGCTCCATCAATGACAGAATTGGGCCAAACTTCCCTAAGAGGACCTCCATGACCAACAGAAAATACTGTTGGGGTCTCTGGCAACCCCTCTGACCCCTCCTTGCGACCTTCCCGGGGGCCCCACTCCCCAGAGTGAGAAACATTGCTCCAGAGGAACTGTGACTGAATTATTACTTGTGTTGAAGTTGCTGTTTTTTCCATGTACTCTGCTGCACAAGAGTAAAATTTAAGTTTTGCATTTCTTCTACTAGTCTTGGTCTTTTTTGAATATATAAAAACTAATCTTTACTAGAAAGATTGTGTTGAAGTTGCTGTTTTTTCCATGTACTCTGTTGCATTTAAGTTTTGCATTTCTTCTACTTGTCTTACTCTTTTTTGACTATATAAAGAATTAATCTTCTGCTGATTTGCACACATCGTCAAACCGTAACAATATGTACCCAACTTTTGCCAGCAACTTGATTTGAATTCTGCTCCTCGAGGGCAAAATGTCCCAAACTGCCCCAGGTATTTTGGTGACTAGAGATGGAGTTTGCTTGTATTTGTGCGTTCCTTCTCATTCTCAAATAATGCCCCGTGCAATTTACAGTTATAGGGGTGTGTGTGTCGTAATTCTGGAAATTACACTTTGCTGCAACAGTGGATTGGAGAGATGTTAGCATTGCGATACAAACATAATAAAACCGCTCCGCAGAGTCAATAAAGGTCTGTGTGTACCAAGTTGGAAGGAAGGAATGTCATAAAAATGCTCAGGCGGCAAACCTTACAGGTGATGAGAAAAAACAGTGCGAATGGCATGTCTCTCTGCATGGGCATCTCAGAGATCAGGAGTCAAGGACATCGACACTCACCAGCCCCCTTTTGAAACACATTTGCTTGAAGATTACTCGAATTCGCATAGGTGACATCAGCAAGGACGTTGGCGAACGTAGTCGCTTTAATTTCTTTAACCTCGTCAGCAGAGAATAATCTAAAGTGATGTCAACAAAACAAAACAAAAGCTCAGTAAAGTCCTAACCTGGCCTGAACCTACTTAGGATGCTAAGACTCAAAGAGACAGTTGGTCCTTCCTACCCGTTCTTGATGTTCTCAAACCAGAAACGGTCACCATCCCGTAAGCGGAGAAACTGGTCCTCGATGATTGCGTGGAAAAGGGTTCCATTCGTTTCCAAGAGGCCTCCAATAGATAGTTCCAGGTGGTCCAGGTTGCCATCATACATGGCTGCTACCTCCTCAAAAAGCTAGACACAAACCATAAGTTTAGGTTCAGCCATCTGTCCCAAAGGGATGGGATTAATGGTGTGACTTCCAAGGTTGTTCTATATATTCCTCCAGGATGGGAATGTGAATGGTGTGTCTGTCACTAGGGGGTGGTGCTATCTCCAGTGTTGTCCTCAGACGCCTCCAAGGTCATGTGGCTGGCATGATTGCACGGAGCAGTACCTATTGATCTACTCACATTGGCATGTTTTCGAACTGCTATGTTCGAAAAGCTGGGCCTGACAGCGGAAGCTCACCCTGCTCCCCGGAATTGAACTGCTGACTTTATGGTCAGCAAGTTCAACAGCTCAGCGGTTTAACCCGCTGCGCCACCAGGGGCATATAGGCTTGATCTACACTGCCCTAGATCTGATCCCAGATTATATTCTTATCCCAGATTGTCTGGCATTGTAGACTCATATAACATACTTCAAAGCAGATCAGATCCTGGGATAAAGGGCAGTGTAGATCAAGCCTATATGCCCCTGGTGGCACAGCGGGTTAAATCGCTGAGCTGCTGAACTTGCCACCATAAGGTCGGCAGTTCAAATCCGGGGAGCAGAGTGAGCTTCCGCTGTCAGGCCCAGCTTTTCAAATGTAGCCGTTTCGAAAACATGCAAATGTGAGTAGATCAAATAGGTACTGCTCCGTGCAATCATGCCAGCCACATGATCCTGGGATAAAGGGCAGAGTAGATCAAGTCTATACGCCTGTGGTGGCGCAGCAGGTTAAACCTCTGAGCTTCTGAACTTGCTGACCATAAGCTGTATAAAATCCACATTGAACTGGATTATACGGCAGTGTGGATTCAGATATTTCATTTCAAAGCAGATATTGTGGATTATCCACCTTAATAATAATAATAATAATAGTATACTAATCTATATAAATAAAAATGTAATATCTTTTGCGGGATTAACATAATTCAAAAACCACTGGACGAACTGACAACAAATTTGGCCACAAGACACCTATCAGGCCAACAAGGGACCATTACTCATAAAAACACTGAAAAACACTGAAAAACACCGGAAAAATGAACGTATCTCCCGCTACGATCCATCTAGGGCCCTAAGATCATCTGAGGAGACCCTGCTCATTGTCCCCCCATTGTCACAAGTGCGTTTTGGCAGGGGAAAGGGACAGGGCCTTTTCTGTGGTGGCCCCCTGGCTGTGGAACCCCCTCCCGAGTGAAATTAGATCTGCTGCATCCCTCTTGACCTTCCAGAAACAAGTAAAATCCTGGCTATGGGATCAGGCCTTTGGAGAATAGGCTGACCTACTGACGTGTTGACTTATTTAGAACTGATGGACTGCCCTTGGATAATAATTTAAATCGGTGACCACTGACTATTTGTTGTCTGTTTTTATAGTGTTTTTATACTGTTTATACTGTTTTATATTGCTATTATTACATTACTGTTAATTGTATATTTATGTTTTGATGTGGGCACCATGGAGTGCCGCTTTGTTAGCCATCCTGAGTCCGTCTGCGGAGGTTGAGAAAGGACGGGATATAAAAGAGTAAATAAATAAATAAACACAGCAGAAGAGACTTAAAAAGCCAAAAAATAAAAAATAAATTGTAACACATGCACAAAACCACATATATATATGCAAACACACATATATACACATATACACAAACAAAACACATATACACAGACCGGGCCATAGCAACGTGTGGCAGGGAATAGCTAGTATTATTATATTATATTATATTATATTATATTATATTATATTATTAATATATTAATATATTAATATTATATTTATATTATATTATAATATATTATTATTCTGTGTTATATGGTTGTGTGAAAGGCATATAACACAGATCATATGTCTACACTGCCATATAATCCAGTTCAAAGCAGATAATATGGATTTTATTTGGCAGGGTAGATGGGGCTGAGACCTCTTGTGGACTCTTGCCATATTAAATAAACATCCCGTAACTCCTAAGGCAAACTAGAGACACCGGAAAGGTGATAGTTTCCCATCCAGGATGAAGACATCACCATGGGCTTTTTCCTCCTCCCAAATGTCTTGAAGGTCATTGCATCACTTTCTTAGTTCCAGAGGTAAGTTCAAATTTGGAAATCTGAGATAAGCAATCTCATGAATGAGAAATTCAGAAATCCGAGCTAGGGTCTTTCCCACTTATTTTGAAATATATATAATAATTATAGGTGCTGGAAAAGTTTATTTCAATGTTTATTTCAAAAAAAAAGTTTCCCCTTTGGGTTTTTTTGGTAAATTTCCAAAATGTCAACATTGCCTACACAACCAGATTGTTGGGTTGGGCCAGAGATTTATCTATGGAATGCAAACAAACTAACAAGGTGAAAGGAACACGCATGCATCCCTTTGCTTCCTATCAGCTGCCAATGAAAAAGTAATCTCTCATCGAACATGGAGGGCCCAATAAACCATCAAGTCTCATCTGCCCTTGAGAAAACCACACATTTCCCACACTGTGGGACTGGTGTGGTTTGACATTCCTTCAACTGCTACGTATCTGGAATCATGGGAGTTGTAGTTTGGGGGGTGATGGGACAAAACTCTTTGGCAGAGGAGGTTAAAGACCTTGTAAAACTAAAACTCCCTTGATCCCATGAGCTATTTCAATTAAAGTGGTGTCAAACTGCATTAATTCTGCAGTGCAGGTGTGCCCACTTTCCAAACCAATGCAAACAATGCTCCATGTTTCAGATTCAGGGAGTGGCAATGTTACTTTATGAATGCATCTACAATCATGGTAGAATTAACACAATTTGTGTGCATTTTGAACTCCACAGCAACTGAGATAAACTAAGGATGAAGGGGAAAGTGGGGCATTTTAAAAGCAATTGAAAAGTGGGGCAATATATATATAGGGTTAACTGGGACTGTGCCTGCCAAAGACAGTTGGGGTGATGTGCAATACCGTTTCATTCTCCCGAGGGATCTCCTTTGCAGGGGGGAGTTTGAAGAACTCTCTGTATTTATTGTAAGTGGATAACCCAAGGTCACGTCCTCGCTGAATCCAGCTGGCCACAAAGTCCATGCGGGAGTACTTCACTGTCCCATACCAGTAATCTGGGAAGGAGAAGAAYGAGAAGGAGGAGAWGGAGATGGAGATGGAGAAGAWGGAGAWGGAGAWGGAYAWGGAGAAGAWGGAGYWGGAGAWGGAGAWGGAYAAGYAGYAGATGGAGAAGGWGGAGAAGGGGAAGATGGAGATGGAGAAGAAGGAGAAGGAAAAGGAGAAMATGGAGGTGGAGATGGAGAAGGAGGAGAAGGGGAAGATGGAGGTGGAGATGGAGAAGAAGGAGAAGGAAAAGGAGAAGATGGAGATGGAGGAGAAGGAGAAGGAGAAGATGGAGATGGAGATGGAGATGGAGAWGGAGAWGYWGGAGAWGGAGATGGAGATGGAGATGGAGAWGGAGAAGYWGYAGATGGAGATGGAGAAGGAGAAGACGGAGATGGAGAAGAAGGAGAAGATGGAGATGGAGAAGGAGGAGAAGGGGAAGATGGAGATGGAGATGGAGAAGAAGGAGAAGGAGAAGATGGAGAAGGTGGAGATGGAGAAGAAGGAGGAGATGGAGAAGAAGGAGAAGATGGAGATGGAGAAGAAGGAGAAGGAGAAGAAGATGGAGATGGAGGAGAAGGAGAAGGAAAAGGAGAAGATGGAGGTGGAAATGGAGAAGGAGGAGAAGGAGGAGAAATAGGAGGAGAAAAAGGAGAAAAAAAGAGGAGAAATAGGAGAAATAGAAGGGGAAGGAGGAGAAATAGAAGGAGAAGGAGAAATAGAAGGAAAAGAAATAGAAAGAAGGAGAAACAGAAGGAGAAGGAGAAATAAGAGAAGGAGATGAAATAGAAGTAGAAATAGTAGAAATAGATGGATAAATAGAAGAAGAAGAAGAAGAAGAAGAAGGAGAAATGGAAGGATAAAGAAAAATAGAAGAAGGAAGAGAAGTAGAAGAGGAAGGAGAAGAAATGGAAGAAAAAATAGAAAGGAGGAGGAAAAATAGGAGAAATAGGAGAAAATGGGAGATGGAGAAATTGACAAAGGAAAAAAGAAATAGAAGAAGAAATAGTTGGAGAAGGAGAAAAGGAGAAGGAGAGAGAGAAGAAGAAAGAGAAGGAGAAATAGAAGGAGAAATAGAAAGAGAAGGAAAAGGAAAAGGAGAAGGAGAAACAAATACTTGGGATCAATGGCAAAGCAAAAAAGGAGAACTTCCAGGGAGAGCAGAGTCATGGTCATTGGAAGAGGTGGGGTTATCAACATTTCATGTTAGTATCTCTTATGCATTCTCTTTCTTCCCTGTTTCCACCCATTTTAGGCCCCTTTTACACTGCCTTATAATCCAGTTCAAAGCAGATAATCTGGAATTTATATGGCAGTGTAGAAGGGGCCTCAATATGACATATATACAGGCAGTCTCTGAGTTACAAACATCCGATTTACATACGACTCATAGTTAAGAATGGGGGTGAGACAACAGGAAGTGAGATGAATCTATCACTTGAAAGGGAAATCCACTCATCGTGAGGGAAAGGGGTCTCCAGTGAAGATTGATCCCCACTCCTTGCTTCCACAACAAGCCAAATTTTTCAAAATCCAATTTTCAGAAGGACAGAAAGAAAGGACACACACACACACATACATCTACACACATATATGTATACTATGTGTATATATGGCTGGAGTTACACTTAAACAATGCACCTGTTCTGGTTTACATACAAATTCAACTTAAGAACAAATCTACAGAACTTGTTTGTAACTTGGGAACTGCCTGTATATGGGTTTGGTGGGTCCTCTGAAGCAAAACACTGGCCCAACTGCTCAGGAGATCTTTTCTGCTATGGGATTTAGGGGCCACCATGGAGGAGGTCATGTCCTCGTTTCCTCCCAATGTTATTATTTGTAATGGCAACCAAGCTTATTGGAGTTCGAAGGAAGCGGACTAGAAGACCTACCTCGGAGATCTTCAACCACAAGGTTGTCCTCTTGCTCAGCGATCTGAGAGCTCATCCCCAGCAGCAAATCGTCCACATCCTTAGATATCTGGAGATTGACACTCTGACCAGGACAGAAAAAAGTCCCATAGAATTAGTATAAAAAGACAAAGGTTTTCCCCTGACATTAAGTCCAGTCATGTCTGACTCTGGGGGTTGGTGCACATCTCCATTTCTAAGCTGAAGAGCCGGCGTTGTCCATAGACATCTCCAAGATCATGTGGCCAGCATGACCACATGGAGTGTCGCTACCTTCCCACCAGAGCGGTACCTATTGATCTACTCACATTTGCATGTTTTCAAACTGTTGGGTTGGCAGGAGCTAGGGCTAACAGCAGGAGCTCACCCTGCTCCTCGGATTTGAACTGCCGACTTTTTGGTCAGCAAGTTCAGCAGCTCAGCGGTTTAACCCACTGCACAACTAGGGACACCTTACAATTAGTATAAATAAGGCCAAAGGCAGCTTCTTAGAAATTCTCAACCTTCAACAGTCTTGATTTGGCAATTAATCCTCTGTCACCTAACTTTTCAAACTACTTCTAAAATGTTCCCAGTTTTTTCTTTTCTTTTCCCATCTTCTCCTCAACTTATTTCAGCTGCTGCAAACTAAGGTCCCATCTATACTGCAATATAAAATCCTAAACTGGATTATATGGCAGTGTAGATCCAGCCTGAGGCCCCTTCTACACTGCCAGATAAAATCCAGATTATCTGCTTTGGACTGGATTATATGGCAGTGTATATTCATATAATGTGTCTTTAGTTAGCAATCTATACTTTGTTGTTCTCATGTTGGGAGGGACTTGAGAAACTGCAAGTCGCTTCTGGTGTGAGATAATTGGCTGTCCTCTAGGACGTTGCCCAGGGGGCATTGCCCCGATGTTTTGATGTTTTACCATCCTTGTGGCAGGCTTCTCTCATGTCCCCACATGAGAAGTTGGAGCTGACAGAGGGAGCTCAACCCACTCTCTCCGGATTCAAACCACTGACCTGTTGGTCAGCAGTCCTGCCAGCACAAGGGTTTAACCCCTTGCGCCACTGGGGATTTTGGTTCTTAGATAACCCACAAGAAGCAAAGCTCTTACTCCTCGGCTCCAGTAGTGGTTGCAGAGGCGGAGCGCTGCAGAATGGTTTCCCTCCAGGTTAAGCACATTTCGGGGATTGCAGTTCGTGTCCCTAAAGAAAAGGATGAAGGGGAAAAAGTGAATCGAGAAGAACATTTACATGAGATGAGGATGATGCCTAACCTCCTTAGGTATAAAGCACATGATTTTGGAACTATTTATTTATGTCTAATGCTGACCCTTTGCTAACGCAGCATCCAAAGTAGTGTCCAGTGCTTTGAATAACCCAATTAAAAAGCTCTCGATACAAAAGTTAAAACACAATTAAACCGTGTTTTCAAATTTTGGAAAATGATGCCATAACCTTTTGGGAAATGGGAATCTCCATCTATATAAATAAAAATGTAATGTTCGTTTGTGGAATTAACATAACTTAAAAACCACTGGACTAATGGACACAAAATTTGGACACAATACACCTATCAGGCCAATGAGTGACCATCACTCATAAAAACACTGAAAAACACAGTTGTAAGGACTTAAGAAGCCAAAAAACAACGCATGTGCAAAGCCACATATATACACATACAAACACACAAAATACATATACACAGACTGGGCCACAGCAATGCGTAGCAGGGGACAACTAGTAATAAATAAAATTATTGAGTTTGCAAAGAGGACTAAAGTAAGTAAGTAATAGTATAAATCTGTGCAAAGTTGAAGTTTTGTGGTTGTGTGTCATAACGACAGACAGGCATTCAAGGGGATTCGTGTTGTCGTGTTTTGGGGGGATAAATTGTTTTTGTCTAAACTTTTTTAAATC